AATAAATGATACAGTCATCGGCAAAGAGTCTTAAATTTGAAGCTAAATGTTACGACAAGTCATTCACGAAGGCGAGAAACGTGAGAGGTCCAATGACACATCCTTGTGGAATCCCTGACGTTACACTTGCGGAAGTAGATAAATATCTTCCGCTTCGTACCTTCTGTTTCATATCACGTACTAGTTTCTTTATCCAAGTCACCACCCTTGTGTCTATACCAGAATCTATTAATTTATTTACAAGACGATCGTGTGGTACGTGAAAAGCATTGGCAAAATCTATTACTTTTGCCTTTACCCTTCCACCTTTATCAGTTTCTTCGGCTGGTCGTGTAGAAGTGAGACAAGCCGACTTTGGCAAGAGAAACCGTGCTGACCTTGAAACAGGCATTTTTGCCCCCCCCCCCTTTCTTTCCGAATGTAGTTGATAATTAGTTGTTCCATGAGATTGCATACCACTGATATGAGACTTATCAGTCTATAGTTACTAAGTATTGTTATATCACCACTTTTAAAAACAGGTACTGTTAACCTTCAATCTTCCGGCACGCAAGCGTTATTGATAGAAATATTAAATAACCTAATTACGTAAGATAGAAAAGCCTCTCCACCTAATTTAAAGACGTCCGGGGAAATAGAATCTGGGTCTCGAGATTTTCCGCTTTTCATTAATTTTATTATTTTCCGTAGAGTACGTACGTCGTTATGAAATAGATTTTTATCTGATAACGTTGCTATTTGTAACAAAACTACAGTTTGCTTTACACCGACTTCGACCTCTCACTATGACTTACCCACAGGCATCTAGCAGATAAGCGCGGTTTGAGATGAAGATGCGAACCGAAGCAAGTGATGTTCGCACCCTGGCTAGAATTATACAATGCAGCGATCGCGGCTAAATCGATATCTGGCATTTAGGAATGAAAAAAAACTTGCCTTTGTTTCGTTCAGGATGTGTACATCCATTGAAGAAATACAATTGGCGAAGTATTACTAAAGAAGTAAATTTAAGTTGTCCTGAAATTAACGTATGATATATCATACGATGCGCTCTAATGGGTTAGACAGTCAATCCTTTAGGTCTATGTCACACGAGCGTTGCGTTGATGTGCTTCACATAACGCTGATGACGTCAGCTGCCCGAACACATGAGTCCCTAACGCGCGTCGTAGATTAACACTATTTTGTGCGAACTGTGTTAGTCAGGATTAGTTTCTGGGTTAGGGCTTATTCTCTTTCCGGCAGCCTTCTTTTGTCACTCAAAGGTCTTTTTTCTTTTTCAATTTTTTGGCTTCCCAATGATAGAACTGAAACTATCATGTCTTGACTAATATAGAAGAGTTACCGCTCTTGTCCGACCCGGATGGCCGAGATAGTTAAATGAATTAGTTTACTTTAAATATATGCCACTATTATTTTCAATTCAATGTGACAAAAAGGAGGACATTCCATTTAAATTTAAAAAAGGAGGGAGGATAGGAGGGCATTATTAAGAAAGGAGAACAAGTTCTTCAAAAGGAGGACAGGTGGCAATCCTACTTCAGAACAATGATGTTAAGTACAGAAATTAATTTTATTTTATGACAAAAGGAAAATACTCATTTTTATATGTAATTGTTTTGCATTTTTCGTCGATTTCGACTAAAAGATCATTTTTACCTTTTTCCATAATTTGTATGCACTTTTCGCTGCTTTCATCGATTTTAATATAATTTTAATAGTACTTCCTTCAAATGATATTTACGAAAAGCAACAAATGTTTACCAAAGGATTCTTGGGTAGCCTATTCGATATCGTCGCTCATATATTGTAATGTTAGCCGTTGTGAGTTCTATGTAATCGAAGGTTCCTGTGACGCCTATTGGTGCCCTTGATAATTCGGCCACTTTCATGATAAACGAAGGCAGATTTTCTTTTAATATCAGTCCAAACCCAAAGTTTTGCAAGCTGAGTTCTCTTGAACAAGAGGAAGGAACCATTATTACATCAGTAACATATCAACACCTGTTCATCAGAAGTGGTTTTTGATCAAATTTTTTACGTTATTTTTCTTTCTTTTGGGGACATATTTAGAACATTTTATTGATCATTCTTGGCGATGTTTTAGGTTATCAAAATCCGCCCCTAGTAATAATAATTGGTATGCTAAGCTTGATAACACGTTTGTGTATGCATTCTTTCATCATATTCTTCAGTACGAAATGTTAGAAGCTTTTCTGCATGTCCAAAGGCATTAAAAACAATTGGTGCGGAATACCATTTAATTTGATGGTATTGCTCTCCTTTCTGTTTTACACGGCTACCTTTTTCAATACATGCTGAAAAAAATGGTTGATTTCCCTCACTTATTATCGTTGTTGTTATTATTATTATTATTATTATTATTATATCCGTAATGTTTTTATTAACGTAAATATATAATACACTGGGACACTTTACGTGTATTCTCTTATAAAATAGTAGCAAAAAAAATTCGTAAATTGCGGATTCGCCGTCAACTATTGATTAATTAACTTGGACGATAAACTAAACACTATGACCAACATTTGTCCAATTTTCATCTTAGTACATTACGTTCCCTGTGTCATCTCTAAAGTACCGCATTTCTTGTAGATATGAATATCGGCACAGTATTAGATCATTTCTTTCTATTATTACAGTATTTTTTTTTCTCGCTTGTCAAATTCAAATCCCATCTCTATCAATAAGCGATAAATTGAAGAATATTTGAAAATTGCTAAATGTTTATCATTAACAGCTTTCATTATAAAAAAGTACATACACCATTGTTGCGGGAACAATTTAAAATAGAAACTCATGGAATTTGAGATGTACCGTTTATATAGAAAATCGCCATATGTAATTTCCCTACTGATTCTGTACTTCAGTCCAGTGAACTTTATTTGGCTCGAGGTTGTTTGTCCACTCTCATTTTCCTTTTTCATCCTAAAAATGGAATGGCTGCTGATGCCTGTTGCTCTGCAAAACTCATTCACACGATTGACTCTGGTTTTGGATGTTCCTTTTAAGTTCTTGAATACATTAATTTTTTTTAATACTTTTAATTGTTTCACCCTTTCTCTACGATCCATTTGGATCCTTAAAATTAACACAGTACATAATTAACTAAATTATATAGCTACTTTTCTTTGCCATCTACATCTTTACCATCCTTTCTTTACCTCCACCATCTACACTCATGGTGGTTGTGCAGTGGTAAGATCAGCAAATATTAATTGACTAGAATTCTCAAAAGGGCTTCTGGTGAACATTCAAGTATTGATTTAGATGGTCCATTCCACTGATCTCATACTAACTGTTCCTTTCAGCCCTACAGTCACACATCCTGCATCTGTAAGGTGACCAATCGTCCTTCTGTAGGGAGGACAGTTCCTTCTTTTGTAGGTTGTGTCCTTCCTCAAAACCTGTCCTCCTTTTCAATCTTTTAAAACCACTGTGTTAATTTAGTGTTCTTCTAATTAATCAAGTGAGAAATCATGATTGAATGTTGATACTCTAGCTGCAGCACTTGCCATAACATCCAATATGAAGGATACTTCTTGCTCTGAAATTTCCAATACATTGTTAGAAAATTATATATGAGCAAAAAATATTCATTCAATTGAATAATACTGGCTTAATTAAATAATTAAAAGGGATGTAAGCACAATTAGTGTATTTTTGTTTGAATTAATAAAATGTTCCATTTATTTTCTTTTTTGTCCTTTTCATTGGAGAAAAGTTGGTCACCTTATGCATCTGTGCCTTGTCTTATCGTCTCATCTCACATCGCGTGCTACTCGTCATCAAAACACCAAATACACAGAAATAATGCATCCAAAGACCTTTGGATAATAATAGGAAAAAATTTCATAATTTTACCCAAAACTTTGCCGCTGGAAGCTTTTAATTGGACTTCAAGAACGAAATTTTCTCTGCAACAGTATATTCTAATGCACAAATTAAACACCCACACATTTTCATTGACAATTCAATTTTTTATAGGGACACATTTTGACATATTGAAAAAAGGCAAGCATTTCTTCCAGCTGACGTAACTGAAATATTGTATCGATATTTTTCAAAATAATTCCATTAATTTTTGGATATGTTTTAACTGTTTGAATTAAAAGATGTTTAAAACGTCAGTTCCGCAAAAATCCAGGGTTTTCATTATTTTATTTAAAAAAGCAAATGAATGACACATTTTTCATGATTGCCATTGTTTTTGCAATTTCTATACAAGACTACATTTTTTCTATTTTTGCAACAATCAATTTGGCAACAGTACGAGATTCTTCCCTGAGAATAACATTGTCCATAAGAGCTCATTGTGCCTTCATGACATGAAAATGAGTATAGATTCCCTGAAATGGAATCAGCAAAAACCTCAATATCTTTACTGTAATTGAAGCCAAAATTATTTACAATAGTGATAGTTTTATTTAGACTGGAATTCACAATAAATCTTTCAGTAGACATGATATTTTAAAATAGTTTATAAACTCACTTGACTGGAAATCAACTATAGTTGAGAATTAGTCTATAATATTTCTCAAAATCTTTGAAACTGAATTATCGTGACTTTTTCTTAGCCAAATTTGAAGTGCCAAATTGAGAGAACTGGTATTCTTTCTCAATTTCTCTCTGAGAATAAGAATTTTGTATATGGTACTAATTAATTGGTAAAATATTTGTTTAAGTGTGTGGATCAATGTGTTCTACTCAAAATAGACTCACAGGTCTAGTAATTATCTTTTTCAGTTTCTCAAACTTTCTGAACCACCTGTGAATAATTTTTGATTTCTGAATGAAATAGAATAATTCCAGGCAAGATAACTTGCATTTTTTTGGGGGGCTTTTTAAAAAAATATACATTGTTTTAATTGTTCTATTGGGATTCATTTAAAAATGTAGAATATAGAAGAACAATACATTTTTGTAGTATTTTTATGGCATTTATAACAATCTATGAACTTAAGATGTAATTTCTTTCTCAGGTCGGCAGAATCGGCAATTAAGCGAAGATGAGCGTAGTCTTGGAAGCATTGGCTACATAGCAGGCAGCTTAGCTTATCTACCTGGCAGCATGGGATACCTAGGTAGTGGGAATCAAGATCATCATCTTGAGTTTCACTATGAGGAACCTCCAGCCCATTACCCTTTGTGGAAACCACCAGGCAATTACTTTCCTCGTGGGGAAGCGCCTCCTCCCTATGAAGAAGCAGTAGCAGCCGCTCGTGCAGAGGCTGCTCTGGCAGCAGTGGTCTCAACAACCTCAAGTGGCGCGCATGGTGGAGTCGCTGGTGGTAACGGCTCTGTGGCCACCACAGGCACAAGCACGCATATTGGTTCAGGATCAGGCCACCGCACAATTCCTATTAATTTGGCTACTAGTGGGAACTTCCGTTTGGAACCATCATCAGCTACTTTGGGACGAGAGCCACGATCTGTGGACTTAGAACCTCGCACAAGGAATGTGGAAGTTACTGTCAATCCATCTCCAAATTCTGAATCGAGACGATTGTCAAGGATGATGGACATTCCCGCTCCACTGTCAATGACATCAGAGGAGATTAATACTGTTTCAGCTATTAGATCAGATGCATTTTATGAAGATGTTCTTGTGGGACCACCATCATCCTTATCTGCTGTTGAATGTTACAATCCCAACATAACAACTACCGTCCCTGGCAAGGCTAAAACTAGTTCAACAGTTTTGAATGGTCCTGCTTCTTCTAGTGTCAGTAATGAGACTCCCCTTCCAGCACCAATAGTGGAGGGAGCAATTGCAATTTTATCAAATGATGTGGAGAGTTCATCTAGACGTAAGAGTTCACAACTAAATGACCTGAATAAAGGTTCCTTGGACAGTGGCACTTGTAGTTGCTCATATCAGTGTCTACCTCCACCATTGCCTCCGGATGATAATGATGACTACCGTAGTGAATGCGAGAATTGTAAAAGTACTCATGGATCTCGATATTACTTGGAGGAGGAACCTGGTATTACTTCGCCTCAGGAAACAATGACACTTCACCGAAGGCCTCAAGATTATGAAAATGAAGAACAAGGTTACTATCGCACGTCTCTAACTCTGCCAACTCATACACGGCGATCAAGGTCAGTACATTTAAAATAATTATTTCTGTTTAATACATTTGAGTTCTGATGAATATACATAAATGCTAAATTCTTTCCTCATTTACATTCAAATCATCTTTACTTTCAGAACTCAAACCGAGCACAAGTTCATTAATTTGTAATTGCGAAAACAAATGTTGCTTAACTTCTTCTCTGAAATTGTATTTAAGGCTCTTAAACCAAAAGCTTATACTTTGTTTTTCACTCAGGTTTTTCTTTCAGGTTTCACTAAGCTTCTTTGAAACTTTCAAAATATTTCTGTTGTTAAAATAACTATTATATTAAAAATATACTTTTAAAATCTAGCACATTCACAATGCCCACATCCTTTGGTGCCTTGGCAGGGGTGGTGTTTTTTTTGTTTTTTTTTTTTTTTTCAGTTGACCGTTGGCCAAAATCTGACAAACTAAAATAAATCTCCTTCACATCTAATGCTTTCTACGCTTTTTTCTTTCTCCGTCTACATAACTTACCCTCCTATTTACAAGAAAAACGGGCAACAATTAGATAAAAGTGTAAGAAATTAGATAACAATTAGAGGTGAAATACCTCTGAGAGAGACGACTGCAAACTAGTTTGCAAAAATGGGAACATAACAAAACGTGAAAAAAAATGAGAAAATTCATAGTGAGAAATTAACAGAAAATGACCAAAGGATTTAAAAAAATCTATTATATGACTATATGACATGTGAAAATTGCTTAATTATAGTCAATGTAGATAAAATCATGCTTAACTTATATTTTCTATGGAAATAACACAAAGAAAAAACATATGACATGTCGTAAACATATGCACCCTTGTAATAACAATAAAAATTTTAAAACTTTTGGATGATGTGATTATTGCTAAAATTACAAATATTTTTAACAATATATATGATACTGAGTATCTACCTGCTGATTGGATAAAATCTCTTGATTGTCATGCTTCCAAAGACAGCTAGGGCAAGAAATTGTGATGGTTATCAGACGATAACTTTGTACCATGTACTCAAGATATTTTTACGCATCATACATGCTTGTTTTTGGAGAAAGGTAGAAGTTGAAATAGGAAATAGACAATTTGGTTTTAGAAATGCTTTTGGAATACGGAAAGCCCTGTGTGCCACTCAAGTTTTAATGCAGAAATGTTTGGATCAAGCATGATAAGTATTTTTGTTTTATAGATTTAAAAAGAGTGTTTGATAATGTGACATATGATAGGATTATGCTTGTTTTAGGCGGTATTAACTTAGATTTAAAAGATGTATGTACATAAAGACCTTATATTGGAGACTAACTGCTCAAGTGCGAGTTGATCAACACCTGACTGAGGAAGTGACTGTGAGAAAAGGAGTTAGACTAGGGTGTATTCTGTCTCCGTTGCTATTTAACTTGTATTCTGAACATGTTTTTAAAGGTGTCTTAAGGGATTGTAACCTAGTAGTAAAAGTGATTGGTATTCCTATTTCTAATATACGTTATGGAGATGATGCATGTATCTTGGCAGACACTGCTACGGATCTGCAAAAAATAGTGAACAGAATAATTCAAACATGCAAAGGTTATGAATTAGAAATTAATGTACGTAAAACATAGTCAATGCTAATTAGGAAGAAAGGTGGAAGACCATTTCAGCTGTGTATCAATGATCAACCTATGAGAAACCCTAAACAGGTTTCTCAGTACAAATATTTGGAGCAAATTTTAAATTAGTCATTGGCATCAGAATTGGAAATAAAAATGAGAATTGAAATAGAAAGATCCACATTCATCAAATCGAGGAATTGTCTATGTAGCAGAGACTTGAGTTTTACTCTCAGATGGAGAGTGGCAAAATGTTATGTAGCAGCAGTTGTCTTATATGGCGCTGGATCATGGACACTGAAAACAGCATCAATTCATACACTGGAGACTTTCGAGATGTGGGTGATCAGGAGAACTTTGAGAATTCCCTGGACTGACAAAGTGTGTAATGACTACATATTAGAACGAAATGATATGTGCTGAGATATATTACAAATGATTAAAAAAATAAAAAATAAAAAAAAGTTGTCTTGGTCATTTACTTAGAAACCTGAAATATGAACTCCTGCAACTGTGGGAATGATGTGGAAAGTTAACGGTAAACAGGGAGTTGGCAGGAAGATGTCCTGGCTAGTAAACATTCGCAAATTGACTGTATTTCGAGTGCATTTGAGTTGTTTCATATGATACAACACAAGATAGAGAAAAGTTTTGGAAAGTGATCGCTAACCTTCAGTAATGGAGACGACACTTATAGAAGACTCATTGTTCAGAGTATCTGACCACTTAAATGAAGCAAATCCTCATTAAGTTTTACAAAGATAGCTTTCCCAAAATGAAATTTAACTTGGTGAGTGGTTTAAATGAACTTGAATTAGTTAAGATACAGGGATAACTCGACTGGAAGTGGGGCAACCCACATTTTAAATTGGATTATTTTCCATAATTATATTAAAACTGAAAACAGTATTTAATTATCCATTATCCAAATTCAATATGTTATTACATTGTTTAAACTTACAAAAGTTAATAAAATTATTTAGTGCTTCCATTTTCTGACCAGACAGAACATGTTTTAAATTATTTTTAAAATGTTCAGGGTTCAAATTTTCTCAGTTTTCTAATAGTTAAACCAAATTATTACTTTAAGGATATTCAAAAAGAGTAAAACTGTCATAAATGTCAATTTTCATTAAAAATATTTGGAGCCATTCGTAAGAAAAGAATGTTTAAACATTACTGTAAATGTGAAATTTGAACTTGTTTTCTCAGAAAACTATTGAGTTTTCCAAAAACATTATAAGAAGTAATTTATAGCACTTCCAGTGACAAATGAAAGTCTTTACAAATTCCTGGAAATGTGAATATTAAAGACATGAGAGATATTTGAAAAAAAAAATACATTTGTGTAATTTTTTAAATAACAAAAGAATACAGCAAAATTTAATTCTATGACATCTGAAACAGTGCAATTAGCACTACCCGTTACAAAAGTTTGAAAAAAAATTTAAGGCCATTTTTGAGAAAATGGCTTTGTGTGTTGCTGAAAATTTTGAGCTCATTGTAACCGAAAGCTGATGAGTTTTCGAGAACATTTGTGACTTTATTTAAAGCACATAAATACAATATTGTAAACAAATTGCTGCTAATGTAAATATTAACAATGTGAGAGACAAGTAAAAAAAATTACATTTTTTTTATTTTTTGGAAAAAGAAAAGAAAAAAGCAATATGGCACATATGCCATCTTAGAGAGTGCATTCAGTACTATCCCTAGTTATAGTTTAAAGAAAAAATTTTGACCCGTTTGTGAGAAAATCTTATATTTGTATTTTTTTTAAATTTCGTATATTGCTCGCAATATTGAGTGAAAACTACTGAAAGTTTCAAAAAAATGTACATGATCTTAGTGAAAATACTAATTGTGGACAACAAATTTCATTTGAAGGAAAAATCTTTCTTTAATTTTGTATTTGTAGGCAGATGTTGAAAAAATGTTATACTTTTGAAATTTTCAAAAATTCACAACTGTGAAAATTGGATCTATGCCACCTTTATAAGTGTCTTTTACTCTATTCTTACAAGAAATTTAATGAAAAATTTTTGGAGAAAATTTTTAAAACGTTCGTGGGGTTTCATGTAAGTACCCCCAAAAATTAATGAATGTTTTTCAAAATTGCAGAGCTTTGATTTAGGCCAAATGGACGGGTTTATTCAGTTTGGAAAAAATCGTACGCTTAGTTACACCATGTGTTAGAGTAACATCTCCCCCCCTCTTTTCTTTTTTTATCAGGGCTCGGCAATTAATTTTTTATGCTGAAAATCCACCTTTTTTTGCCTAGCATTACATAACTTTCTCTATACTATGTATATTACTCTGTGTATATGTATGTATACGATAAAGTAAAAAAGGATTATTTGCGTAAAGTTTTTAGGTATTGCTGAGAATCAAATTCAGGCCTTTTACCTAGTACCAGACTACAGCATTAACCCCCAGACCACCACAGCAAGCTCTGTGAGCTAGCAGAAACAAATGTTTCTAATTTTAAATGTTTTGACTATTAAAACATTTCTTCACAATAATCATGAAAACTACTCATATTTCAAAAATCTGTACCTAAAATGATGAAAACATTGAATATTGCATTATCTTGCTTCAATAATCAAAGTGTCAGACCGGTTTGAGAAACACTTGAAGTGATGACAAGTGGATAACAAAGATTTTCACTATGACCCCAACCATAAAATTCCATTTCATAACTGAATAATGTAATTAAGTGATTTTTTTGAAAATGCTTCGAAAACTGTAGATGCTAATTGAACTTTGTTTTTACTTAGAACGACTCCGCTTCATGGTACCCCAGGAGCATCACACAGTGCACGGGAAAATTGGTTTAGTAGCATGCCAGCATCGTCCACATCATCAACTTCTTCTGAAGAAGAATGAACGGCAGCAACGAAAGAAAATTTAACGATTCACATTTTTATGTGAGTAATCTTGAATATGTTTGCGCAGTATATAATATTTAATTGAATCAATCATGTTGCAGCTTTCATTAAACAGTTATGATGTATGCACAATTAGTTTTTATTTGATGCTGTAAATATTTTGTAAAGTATTTGTGAAATGTGTACATGCCAAAGTAAGAGTGTACAAATGTGACATGTTGATGAATATTGAATGGTAATTTTGATTTTAGAAAATGGAATTGGACCAAGAACTTGGCCTAATGAAAATATATGTTAGGAAATGTTTGTCATGGCATTTTTGTTTGTGTTAACTATTGACTCATATGTTAATGACAGTAAACATTTTAAAAAACAAATTATGGGATCTATTGATGTAATTAACATGATGCAAAGGGAATAGCGGAATAAGATTGGTGAATTTGGCCCACAACCAAAACCAAAAGAGGATGATATTATCTTATTCTACTCCCAAAATAATCTAAAAAAACTAAATTTTATACATTTTTATTTTGCTGTACTGACATGTTTTTTCTTCTTTTCTCATACTTAACACTGTATATTTGCAGAATTTAGATTGCTTTTAAATGTAATATAATGAACGGGATTCTTTAGACAATTTTCTAAGATGTACACTAACTTCTTACAACCAACCTACGGCACTACTTTTTATTGAAAATCATACTTTTCAGACTTTTTTTTTATTTTTATTTTTCTTTAAGAATTTGAGGACGAATGTTTGATTTAGGAATAAAATGACCGTTTTCATTGGATTCCTCTTCAAAAAATACATAAATAATCAATTGATAGATTCCAGTTCACTTTCTTGTCCACCTCACTTTGGAATTTAGAAATGCGTCTGTTATAAGTTTCAAATAAGTTTTTATTTTAATGTCCCTAGTATAGGCAAAGAAAATAAACAACTAACAAACAAAATTTCTCACTTAATTTTTTGTATTCTTTTTATGATCTAATGTTCTAATGTATGGCTGTTGCTGCCCGAACTAGCTTTGCCACTCTTTGCTAATGGAAGGGCAAAGCATGCCATGGGAAGAGAAAGAGTTTGATAATTTTTCCAATGGAATAGCATATTTCCAACAGAAGAAACAAAAGTTACAAGTTTTCTTATTAATATATGTTTATAGTGTATTATTCATTCAGCTAATAGAATATTTTTGATTCAGAGTACACTGAGGCAGTAAAAATTGTGGAAAGCGTGCAAATATGCAAATGTACAGGTAGGGGTAGTATCATGTACAAAACATACAAAAGGGCAGTGCATTGGCACAGTTTCCACTACACAATACTACTGCTTTCTGGATATAAAGGGAAATGCAATCTCTCAATTCATTATTTATGAATTTTTTGATCATGAATACAATGAAAATAGTTATTTTATTCCTAAATCAAGCAATCGCTGTGAAATTCTAAAATAGTGGAGAAGGTAAGATTTTAAGTGAAATTAGTTCCTTAGGTGGTCGTATTGAAAATATCGTAAGAAATTAGTATATATATCTTTGAAAATCATCTATAGAATACAGTTTGTTAAGTTTCATTTAAAAAATCTAATATCTACCGATAAATAGCGTTTAATATTTGGGAAAATGGGAAAAACACATTTTCAAGATTAGGTCACTATAGTATGATCAAAAATTATAAAAAATTGTTTTTCTATATTATTTTGGAAGTAGAATAAGATAATATCATCCTCTTTTAGTTTTGGTCATGGGCCAAATTCACTGTTCTTTTACTGTTATACTCTTTCAACAAGTCTAGTCATCCTCACTTTTAAACCATGTGTATTTCTTATTTACCAAAGTTAATATTATTTTCAACTTCTGTAACTGGAAGGCAAATGCTTGGTAAAATTCTAGCAGGTTACAAGCTAATTCACTGGTGATTTTATTTTGCAATTATCAGTATGCATAATAATTGGCGGTTTTTGTGTTGTCGTAGATCAGATGTATCCATCTGAAGAAAATCAAAATAAAATTGTAGAAATTCATATTCATTAATAAATTTTGTGATGAAGTGAGTGGGAAAGTGAATGTGTTGACATGTCTTTGTGAATATGGAAAAATGTCATGTCAATCGTGTAAGTTTTATTTATTAATCATGTCTGTATATAGTCAATTGTAATTTTTCATTAATTGTCAACAGATTTTACATTTCGTATTTATTGAGAACAATTCTGTAAATGGAATGATTTCCCTTTTCTTACTTCAACTTTCATCTGTTTAATAACATAGTATTGCAGAAAATTTTATTTAATTGTGATCGAAGGAAGTGTTACTTTGGTATTGATTTCAAACTCTTTAAAGACTCGGAAAACCAGACAAGTGTTCAGAACATTAATGGAGGAATGAATTCTTTTCTTTGTGTGATCTTTGGGCCTACAAGTCACTCAATAGTATGTAATATTATATATATTGATCTTTGTACAAGCATGGTCCTTGTGTAAACCAGTGCCAGTGATACGAACAAACTGCCCAATTTATTTGAAATTGAACTCTAAGCCTGAACATATAACATGATGTGCTGCTGGCCAGCAGTCATATCCAAGGTGTTCTTGTGGTAATATATGTCGATCATACAATATCATATATGAAATTACAGGATATATGCAGAATATTGGTAGAAATTATTTTGTAAGTGTCATGTTGCTCACAATAAAATAGTAAATCAGTGGTATTTTTCAAAATTTGATGAAACTGTGTAATATGCAATTTACATGCAATTAATATGCAGTTATCTTATTGGTTTTGTATAGAGATTCTCACTCGCATGCTGTGTATGCTCTTTTTGCTAACAAGGAATCTGGATTTAATTTATTATAGTACCTTCATTCAATTTTTTCCATATGTGTGATTTAATGTTGTAACATGTGGAATAAGAATAAATTTTATGCTCAATGAATTCACACTACCAATGATCATGTTTTATGCAAGTTTTATTCAGCAATTTTGATTGTCTTTCTTTACTTGATCATTGTGTTTCTCAGTGTTTTGTGGAAATACTGCTTATGCATTTAAAGTTTGCTTATTGCTTGAATACAGGTGGTTTGATGTAAATAATTCATAAATGCGGGCCTAATGAAATGTGTGTAATAGATATATGAGACATACGGATTGGTATTAGAGAAATGGTACTGTGTAATCTGTATTAGAAATTGGCAAAACTGTAGTGTGTTTGTAGTACATTATTGTGTACTAATTGAACGTTTTATTTATTCCATGGGATTGCTATTTATATTGAAAGTGTCTCATATATCCTGTATTTGTGTGATAAATTATTCTGGATCCAATAAAAAAAAAGAAATTGTCTCAAATTTCTAGGCCATAGCATAGTTCGATTTAGATCAGAATTATCTCTGTATGCATAATAGAAATCCCATGTTTTATTGTATGACTGTAATACTCATGAAATACTGTATTCCATTTTATCATGTGATTCTTTATATATTATGTGTAAGAGCAATGTTTATCTTAAAGAAATCTGTAATTTTTTATACATTTATTGCATATGAAATTTAGTTTCTATCTGTGAATTGAAATAATGTCTTCACATTTCTCTTGTGTGCACATACAAGTGTTTGTTATGATACTTTACAAGAAATCATCCAATTCTGAGTGGTATTAGTGTTTTGGCAGAGAGAATTCAACTATGTATTTGAATATAACAATGCTCAACCTGTGACCTGAATTTTGACGTTTGCACAAATTTACTCTTGAAGCATTATCAACTTTGAGCAGATGCTGGAAATGCATCCTATTATATGAGACATACATGTGAAGTGTTATCATTATTTGAAATCTAGTCTAAACATTTTTCCAAGATTCATAATGTCAATGAAACTTCTTTGTGTAACTTAACTGTTTTCCTTTTTGTTATTTTTGCTTTACCACACCAACAATATTTATTTGTGGTCTCATAATATTTTTGTCATTGGAAATAGATTCTTTAAAAGAATAATTTAGATGTGTTAATTTATGTTAATGGCAAATGAAATTGTTGATGCTGAATATTTTGTTGTAAAAATTAATTTTGTTAGTTTTTCATTTCTATTTCAATTCTGCTTATCATTTCTGTTAGATATCGAACTGAAACTGTACATAATTTCTAATAATACCATTAGAGTCTTTTGATTCGTTTTTCATAAAATTTAAAGTAAAGGAAGAATGCATGCTGCATTTACGTTCATCTAAAGAAACAGTTTTATCGGGCAATGGAAAGTAAAACTTTAATGACAATTTCCCATATTTTGAATAGTTGTATTTTAACTATACAAATGATAGTACACAAGTTATTGTGCTTCAATCATTTTATATTACATTTAAGTTTAGTGTATTTATTCTGGTTTAACCGATAGTTTAGAAATTAAAATTAATTAAACAAAAACATTGGCATATTTCTGCACAGGAATGCTTAGAACTGTTGAATAGCAAATTGAGAAATTGCCAGAAATGTTTTATGAAAATTCAAAGTTTTCCACTCCACATTTCTTGTGATATTAAAGGCCTTCACTGCCAGAATTTGCGTTGATTCAATGAAAGAGGAAGAGTGACCTAACATTCCAGCTTTTGTGTTATTGCTTTTTCTAAGCATAAAATTTGAAAATGTGTTGAGAAAGAAGGTACTAGTTTCAGCATTCAGCATGATTGCTGTACTGAAATGTATAATCTCTCATTGTATGAAGTGTGAACAAAACCATGAATTTGTGTCAAAATGATATCAAATCAGAATTTGCCTTTTAACTTGCCTCTGCATAAAGTTGAAATTTATGATGTACTAGTTCAGGAAATCACCCAAATTAATATTTTTCAAAACTATAATCACAATTAATGTACTGTAGGAATGAAACTGGTACTCTTGCAATTATTTCTGGATATTGTTTAATGCTACTACATTGTTCTCCACTATTTCATATTAATAGTAATAGGGATTATATGATTCTACTAGTTAATTGTATTGCTAATTGTGTATGCAGCCATCAAATTTCAACACTTTGTAGTGAAACATTTGGCTAAGATATGTTGAGTTAAGAGATAGTTGGGGAAATAGTTGTATTGAGAGAATTAGATTGACTTTGCACACCTCCTTTTTTTTCCCTTCCTTCCTTCCTTCCTTCCTTCCTTCCTTCCTTCCTTCCTTCCTTCCTTCCTTCCCTCCTTGCTTTCTTTCTTCCTCATTTTTCCTTTCTTTCTCTCTACCTTCCTTCCTTCCTTCCTTCCTTTCTTTCTTTCTCTCTTTCTTTCTATCTTTCCATTATTATATTATTGGAGCTTAAGATGTAATGCGCAAGTAAAAATGTTTCTACAAATTATGAGGTGTGTAGAAGTGCATTTATATTCCAATTGTGGCTGAACTTCCACAAATTATACAAGCATTGTTTTTTTTATTTTCCTTTATGATTTTAATTTGCTGCACTTGGGTGGCCAAAGTTTGATAAGAATCTTTAAAGATTAGGCAAGTCTCGATTTATCATCTGTTGAAAGTTCCTCTGCTTTCAGTAAAGCCCCTTATGGTCAACGATAAGATAGTGAAATTTATCTAATTTAATTAATTTTAGATCCCCAGTCAGAAAAATTCTAAATTGAACATAATTTCAATTGAAGTTTGTGTATGCAATTTGGAACAGCTTTAGATCTACTGTCTCATTTGTGTTACATTTTGTGTTTTTATAGTGATTTCGAGAGAGCATATATTTTTGTTAATGGGAATATGAAAATGCACATTTACACAAATATAAGATGACTGCCTAATTTTGTGAGGCATCTTGAGAGTTAAACAAACAAACAAACAAACATTACTATTCAATTGAAATAAAATTGGTATTTCTCAAATTGTCTAGAAAATTGCTGTATTCATGAGAATGTTAAATTGTTTTGCCTGAGCTATCTCAATTTTCTCTTTCTTTAAAACCATTATCGTTTTTATCACTTTCAAATTTATTTTTATATGTATCATTGTTTCTTTCTGGTCATCCCCCTATACTGTGTAATTCTCTTGACATTTTACTGTCCCCCCTCTCTCCCTTCTACCCATCCCCTTTGTAAAGTTTTGCTCATTGGGTTTATGTTCTTAACCGAAACCCTCACTGGGGTAAGACAAGTGGCATTCTTTGTGAGGGTCACAAGCATTAGGGACAGGAGAACAGATGGGACCAGACACTTCGGGCGGTTTCAGAGTCGGTTTCTCTCCTTGCTCTATGTCTTGTATTTTGCTCGACAGCTTATAATCATTCTTCTCATGCGAGAGGTTCAACATTCTACAGGAGATAGTTCAGCTGCTAATATGGAATTTTTTTCCTAAGATTGTTTTTTAAGAAAATCCATCACTGTGATTGGATGTAGGAGTAAGTTTGTTATCAAGGTGAAATTTTTACCTGCTTGTGTACTACATTCGCATTATAGAGAAAGTTTTGTAATGTGGCAAAAAATGGTGATTTTTCAATGTTGAAAAACTTTATTACGTGGCCCCAGTAACGAAAAATTGGCTGAATCTTGTTCCTATATATAGTAAATTACTTTCTCAAATACAATGTTAAGCAGAATTATCACCAAAATTGATATTTCTCAATCGATCTTAGTGATGTTGCAGTCCCTTGAATTTGAAACTGATGTTTAAATTTTGGGGGGTTTGCCAGAGACCTTGAAAACATTTTCAATTTTTTCTCAAAAATGCCTCCATTTTTTAAAATTTAACTGTCATTGGATAGCATAAAGACAAGTGGCGCAGGTCTCAGATTTGTTGAATTAACTATTTCTAAAAATTGCCAAAGTTCACAGTTTTACAGTCTTTTTCAAAATAAAATTTGTTCTTCATAATTAGATATGTAAATGACATAAAAACTTTTTTTTTTTAACATTTTTGCAAAAATTGCCCCAAATTTTTTTTGGTGAACTTTTTTGTAAGTATTATTTCGCTTCCACTGAATAACATGACATAAACACCTTTTGTTGTATTCTTTAGATTTTGCAAAAATTAAATAAATTTATCTTTTTTGTGTATGACTCATGTCATTATAATATTAACAATAGGTCACTTTTTATACGTAATTGAATTTATGAATACAAGTGTTTCAAATTATTTCTGATCAAGTTTCTCAAAAACTTTGTGTCGAAGGTTTTATGTGAAAACAAGCTTAAAATTGCTCATTTTCAGAACTGCTCAAATGACATTTACTCAAAAACTGCTCCAACTTTTTGTACGAATAGTGCTAAATATGCTGATTTACATGACATACCTACCAGTTTTATTTATTCTTTTGAATTTTCTAAAACTACTCAACAGGAAAATTTTTTGAACTCTCACATTATTTATATTTACAACAAAGTGCTTCAAACAACTGTTCTGTGAAATGAGCTCAAAATTCTGCTTTTTCAGAAAGTCTCAAATGACATTTCTCAAGAACGCCTCCAAATTTTTCAATGAAAATTTGCATAAAGGACTAGGTTTTCCTCTCCTGTAAATTCTTAATGACATTTCAATCTGTTATTAGGGGACCGAAAAAAGGACAAAATAGTGGGGGAAAATGTTTTAGCGCCATTAAGTAACAGCTGGCAAGAGGGTGGGGTACTACCAAAAAGCTAGTGTTGACTTAAGCCATTAGGAAACTAACTACTGAGAGAAAGTCTATGTCATTGTGTTGCATTACTGGCTTCATTTCAGTGCCTGAAAAAAACAACATAGGTTCGCTCTCTCCGGACTTCAAACAAATAGTCTGTGCGGTCTTGTCAGCAAGTGAAACAAAATTTCGGCAACGGTTTCTATTGTTTTTACATTGTGTTTTACTTACTTCAAAGCTTTTGCTTTGTGGTTTTCTCTTTATCTGCCTTTTAAAAATGTTGATCTAAATCATTTGGCAAATCCACTGTACATACCAAAAACACACCTGAGAAAATAATTTGGTATTTTAGGTGTGTGTGGTATTTATCCCTTCTCAACATATTGTTACATCATCAAGTTTCGTTATAAGGCATAGGAAGTTTAAAAATATAGATCCCATCCGATCCTGCTACATTTGCAAATATAAAACATACTCATATTTTGCAAATTAAATATGTAGGGGAAAGCCTCAATTTATGTTTGTGGAAATTCAGTATTCTCTTTTAAGATGAAAATGATAGATGACCAGTGGCAGAGGACACATTTTCTCTATTACAATGCTATTGTAGAATACTCGTATCAATTTATTTTCTGCCCTCAAGTTAAAAAAAAAATATTAATTTTAATAATGAAGTTATTTTTCTACTTTAGTTTTTGAAGCGTTATCCTTGTCTACCAAAGATGTATTTTTTGGGATTTGTATTTTTATTTGTGTGTTCAATTCTTTATTTCTCGGGGGATAATACAATGAAGTAATTGAAATAACTATTACTATTTGACAAATACTTCTAGTATGATTTCAACACAAAGATCTTTGTTGAGTAAAGGATCAAATAACTTCCAGAAAATTTATTTCTTCAAAACATTTAATTCATTTTTTTTATTTTATTATTTTTTTAACCAAAGATTACAATACTAATGTTTTATAATATACTGTACTAATAATATATTTATGTTAGATGTGCAAGGAAAATCTTTTAAGTAAGATAAAAGCAACACTAGTGTAAAGGAGTGGCAAATTGATCCTTTTTTATACTTAGGCAAGTTAATATTGACATTTGTGACATTTGCTTCATAAGTGCAATTCAAAAATAGTGGTCAAAATTGACAATTTGTAAGTATTCAATAGAAGTAAAAATCTCTTATATAATCATTTCATTGATATTTTGTGGTCTGATTTAAGAAAGCAAATTTTGTTCTTGTAAATAAGAAGAGTTTATGGTAATTTTCCTTTGTATATAATAGAAGAGGGAATATTTATCATCTTGGATATTTATAATTGTAAAAAACATTTTTGTAAAGAATGCCAATTTTATGTTTAGGTCCTGTGCTAGTGAAAGTATGTATTAAATAAATACCCTAGTGAGTTGGTTGTTTGAGAATTGGACTTCCAGAGCATTTGTTATTGCAGTGTTTTCCAGTTTGGAAATCAGCGAAATTTGTGAAAATTGAAAAATACGTACAATTTTCACCTTCTTTAACTAAATTACGCAGAAAATATTAATACTAAATTACATAAAAATAAACTCTTTTGTGTACCAGTAATCTGGTTGCTAGTTTAGGAGAGCAGTATAAGTGCACTAAATGAGGATTATTTTTGTTTTATAACTTGAGATCTGTTTTATAGTAATGTTGCAAATGTTTCTATCTTTCTTTGTAATTTTTTTTGAGAATCTTCTTGTGTGGGTGTAATAGTTTTATGGTAGTTTTTGGATCAATTGTAATTGTTGGCACATGTGACTGTCTTAATATTTATGACGGAATTAGTTGGTGTAGAGTTCAGATTGAAGTTTTGCTTTTGGAATGCTGTGAAGATGTTCTCTTTTAATAATAGTCATTTTCAAAATTTATGTTAACATTTTTTTCATCAATCAATTTTTAATTTTTTTGTTTCTCAAGAAAAGACTGAATTATTTTTCAGCCTCTTCCCTCATCCTTAATCTGGCAGTGTAGTAAATAATATTAAAATTACAAATATAATTTTGATGTATGAGAATGATCTGATTTCACTATTGGATCCCTTTAAAATGTTGAGTGTGTGTAATTTTTTGAACTGACTATATGTTGAAACTTGCTCGATTATCATTGTAGCTTCTTCATTCCAGAAGTTCTTTTATCATATTTACATATTTTAGTAGTATCTGAAGCTACACGGTAGAAACTATATTGCTATATCAAGTGGGAAATAAGACATGAAAATTCAGGTGCTCAGTTTGTTGAACTGTATCAATGTATACTGTTTGTATTTTCACTATGACTGCATTTACTTCTATGTTGTATTATTTTGTGTGTAAACATTGTGTGTTGTCATTGTATTAATTGTGAAATTTTTGTAGTATGATCTTAACTTATTTTATATGAATATATCTTTGTGTTTTGATAGATATGTTAGTTACCAAAATCAGATTACTTTTATATTAAAATAAACATATTATTGGATGTTATTAAAATGTCATTTTTAATAATTTCCTTGATATTCATCATTTGTTTGTTATTTATGTTTAGGGGTGTCCAACTTTAATGCCTGTCATATTTACAGTAGGCTTACTCGCGTGATCCACACTGAAATTCCTCTTTATTGTTGATCTCTGCAGTTTGTCCGGCCGCTCTAAAACTGTGAGCGGGGGGGTGGGGCATGTGTGAAAGAATGGCCGTTGCCATGATAAACGCAGGGAAATAGTTGATAATTTGAATTATTTTTGAATATCTAAATCAATAAAAAAAATTCTGTAATACTTTCTCATACTTAGCTAAATGGAATATATAGAGAACTTTTTAACAGCATGACAAAGTCTTTTGTTAACAAATATTCATACTTTTTACGTATTCTGCTTGATCCCTAGGGCAGCATTTTAATCACAAACTTACGGGCCACGAGAAAAACCTGCAATGATTATGAAAAATTTTATTTAATTTTCTACTCAATGTCAATATTATTTCAATTTTTCTTCCTTCTCTCGGCCTTTATTTTTATTCAATGGTATTTTTCAGTTTTAAGCAATCCGCCAAATTTGCGCAACAATGCGTATCGATGAGAAGCGTTGAGTGAACACTGAGTTTTGTTATATCTCTTATCATCTCTTCCTGAGTAAAACTACGGCCTGTTGTGATCGGTGGCATCGTGTTGAAAGGCTCGTGCCCATCATAACGGCAGGGAAATATATTTGAATAATTTTGAATATCATAAATTCATAAAAAAAAACTTAAATTACTTTCTCATATCTTACTAATTGAATAATAAAGATTTTTACAGCAGACAAAGTCTTTTGTACAAAATCAGTACTTTTTACCTGATTTCTGCTTGATACCTAGACAGATTTTACACCAACTACGGGCACGAGAAAAACTGAAGATTAATATGAAATTTTTAATTTTAATTTATCTACTCAAAATGTAATATTATTTCAATTTTTCTTTTCTTTCTGCGTGTTTATTTTTTATTCAATGTATTTCATTTTAAGCAATCCGCAAATTTCGCAAACAATGCCTTATCGATTGAGAAGCGCTTGCAGTAACACTTGTTTTGTTATATCATCTCTATCTCTCTTCCGAGAAAACACGGACGTTCTCTTTGTTAAGAAGCAATAGTGTTTATCGTATCTGAAGTGCGGATATTAGAAGTCGGTGATGAAATGAAACACTATCGGAACTTATCTTACGACGAAAGGCATCTCAAACGTTCGTAATTATTTTGATGTCAATTGCAAATATTGTAATTAATATATTAATATTAGCCAAGCAAATGCGCATAGTGTTTATAATGTTGCGCTGGTAACAGCGTATTTATATAATAATTCGTATTTATTTGTGAATGAATTTATTAATTGTGAATTTTGTAAAGAAGTATTTCAACATTCACCGTTTATTCATAATTCAACCAACAAATATAGTAAAACTAGAGATTACGGAGCTCAAGAAAATATGCACAGATTATACTTCTCCCCTACTCGTCACATAAGTTCCTGTTTTTAACATTAAATAATGATTTCTATGGAATGAAACTCGTTAAACAGATAGTTTACGATAACAAAACACGATTTTCACGGATTAAAATGACACAAGAACATTTAATAAAACAAGAAATGGGTCTCGCAGCTGATCTCATTCTAACTAGTCTCATTCTCTAACTAGTCACCACTGTCAGCCTGTGGCACATAAAGGCCTTTCGAGACATCGAATAACCTATTTCTAGCCTCAACGGCCTAATTCTTCATTTTTCGTCGCACATTTCTCGCAATGCATCTCTCGGTGTAGTGTATTGCGGGCCTAACCACCTAATCACGGCCACCTAAAATGTAATGAGAACACCAACCAGGAATACGTCAAGGTATGGTCGGGTACTGAATCCAATAATTCGGTAACATAGGAATCTAAAAGGGGGAGATAAGGTGTTGGTAATGATTGCTTTTTTGCTTTTTTTTATTTTTATTTTTTTTTATTTTTTTTTTTTTATTTTTACAATATATGATGTGGGTTCTTCTCCATCTCGTAACAGTGCTGCCTTTTCCCAAGTCTTATCCTGTTTTCATTAGTACCTTCTCCTCAATTTTAAAACTTTTTATTGTAGCTGTAGCTGCCATTCTTCCACCTTTTTTTCTACCATATAACTTGTCAAATATTTTAAGTTTGAATCACTTGTTCCATAGCTTTTCCTGTCGTTGACATATGTGCCCTCCACTATTAAGTATTTGAGACACACCGAGAGTCAGCAGAGAAGTATTGTATTCCATTATTGCCTCATTTATGTCCTCTCCTGAATACGTACATTTTCTAAGTGCTTGTTTGATTAATTTTACTGCATTCGTACCCTACCATTGCTTTTAGGATAAAATGGTGAGTAATTTGTCGATTGTATATCTTCCTTCTAAATATTTATTACATTCTAGTGAGTTTAAAGGAACTTTGTCTGCTGTAATATTAATCAGCAATGCATATCCAGTATAAAGAAAGTTATTTTTCATTTCTTTTATAACAGATATTGCACTCTTATTTTTTAACAAAATAGCCTCAATTCAGTGAAAAAAGTAATAAACTATTACAAGATATGGTTTTCCTGCAATATCCTTAGTAAATTTTTGTTTTGGTACCTTAAGTAACTGTTTTGGTTGCTTTCTGTTATTACTCTGAAATTTCTCACATGTTTCTCATTTCCTTACAAAATTAGTGATATCTATTGATGTTTTTCCAATAGAATAACTGCCTAGCTTCCTGAATGGATTTTTCTGTTCCAGGATATCCTTTATGAATAGTCTGTAGTATATCTTGTTTTAGTTTATATGGAACAATGATTTTCTCCCCTACAAACAAAATTCCAGCCTCTACATAAATGTCTTCTTTCATATTGAAGTATTCTTTACCACTTATCTCTATCTTCTTAAATGTAGGCCAATACTCATAGTAATTTTTAGAGAGAAATTGCAAAACTGTTTTACTGTAGCTGTAGCTTTTTTTAAATTGTTCAATCCTACAGTTTGACATTGGTAAGTGTTGTGTTGTGACTTTGCAATCTCTAGCATTTCCATATCATTCTCTATAATTTTCATTTGTTGATCTAGATATTAAATGAAAAGATTCCTAAATGAAAATATTTTCCAGGAACTCTTATGTAAGTAAGATCATAAGATAATAATCTGTGTCTTTATCTCAATCTATGAAGATGTTTTGAGCCTATTTTGCATACCAACCTTTTTCATGATAGGTACATAACAATGGTTTATGATCAGTTTCTACTATATTTTCACACCATTGATATATTCATAGAATTTTTAGGCCAAAACCCAATACTTGGTCATTCTTTCTTTGAATTTAATTACAGTCATAATCATTCATATTCCTTGACACACACAAAATAAGTTGCAAATCATTTGCTCCCTCTCTTTGAAATAAACATGCTCCTAGTCCATTTTTTAATGCATCACATTGCATAACCAGTTGGTTATCTGGATCATAGGGTACAAGCACTGGTGAATTTACCACTCTTTCTTTCAATTCTTATAATATGTCATGCTGTATTGAACAATATCATGTATTTGCTTCTTTTAACAATTCACACAAAGGTTTTATTAATGTCGCCATATCTAGTATTTATCTCCTAACATAGTTAAATTCCCCTAATAATTTGGGTAGCCCATTTTTATTCTTTGGAGCCCTTATTTCTTTTATTGCCTCTTTTCTACTAGGATCTACTGACATTCCTTCACTTGAGATTATTTGTCCATTAACTTTACTTTTCTTTCCTTAAATTGTAATTTGTTAAAATTTGTTTTAGAATTCTCTTTTTTAGCTCTCTCCATGACCTGGTTCAATATATCATCATACCCTTCTTCTGTCATACTCTTTATATATCATCCCTACATTTGGTATTGTAATATAACTGCTTCTTTGATAATTTTAAATTATGCCCCACAATGGGCAGCCATTTGTAACTACTATTTTCTCCTACTGTTTTTATCTATATAACTTATTTCTTTCGTTGCCCTGCTATGCTTATAAATTCACTCAATGTTAAAATATTGTTATATTAATTGCACTTTTAAATTGAAGCATGGGTTTCGACATACAACATTTCTCGTCATACCTGCTGCATGTGTACATGTGTCCGAATACGGAATCACGATTCATGGAGGTTCTGCAGAACAAGCTAAATATTCAATTGATGGCAACTTCAATAAATGATCAGCCTTTTCTCTTTAGACTAGTTGTGCTGCCAATGCACATACTTTTTTGCAATGTTTCTAAATGCTCCGCAATATTATATTGATTTGAATATTATATTGAACAATTGATTTGATGTGACGTACATTTTACAAATAGGACAAGAGAGTTGTAAACTAGTTTAAAATTTCAAAATACAAAAATGATATTTTACAGACACTTCCACTTTATTTATAATCTTAATAGATTGTATATGCGAGTAGACATGCTTCAAATGATTTTCAATAAAGTTTCTGAAATTCTCAATAGTTTATGCAGGGAATTCATGGCTTCTTGTAGGCTGTTGATATTATTTGACCACAGAACCATGTCGTCTGCATATAGGTAGAGAGTGACTGCATGTATATTCTCAACAATGTCGTTAATATCAATTAGTGCAATGTTGAAAAGTAAGGTACTCAGGCAGTGACCTTGTAGAACGCTATTAGTCTGCATGATTTCTTTGGATTTTTTTTTGTTGTCATCTATGGTCATAACTAAGGTGTAGGATGTCTTTTATAACAGGGAGAAGGTTCCCTTATAAACCTTTCTAGATTCTTCATGAGCTTTTCTCTGTTGAGTAGCTCAAAGATTTGGTTTAGTCCACATAACAAATGATCTTCCTTTAGGTTTATCTAGTGAACTTTCAATTCCTTTGAGTACAGTTTTAATGGCCTGCGAGGTTCAACGATGTGGTCTAAATCCAATCTTGCAATTTTGGGTCCATGATGAGCAATAGTCTATTCGTTTTTAAAAAAATTATGTAATGGAATCAGCAGTCTTTGGTAGCAATTACATTTACAGTCATTTGTATGACGGTAAAACATACAAAAAGAGATATTTTAAAGACTATGTCAAACATTCATAATGAACCTGCCTGCTTCTCAGGTATTTGAACAGTAGTGTTGCAAAATAAAGTCAATTACTCAACCAAAATATGTTTTATTAAATTCTTTAAATATTATTTTACTTTGATATCTTGTTATCTACAGAACAAGGTGTATTAATGTGTTTTTGACTCTATGTCAATCAAATTTGCTTGCGTCCATTGAGTAAACGCTGAGATGGTGTTTGGCTTTGCTTCTGGACACTAAATGTGGCTATTATCCTCCAATCATCATCTAATGTTTTCTGATGTTTTATTGTTACTGGTGTTCAATAAATGAGCCTAAAAGTAATATGACATTCAAATTATAATTTAAAATGTGATCTTATGGAAATAAGATATTTTAGTTTATTATTATCATTTGTTTCAGGGAATGACTAGTAATTACACAAACACCTTAGGTAGGTACAAAGGGAATATGAATAAATATGTGAAAGATGCAAGTGAAATTTGCAATTTATTACAATTATTACATGTTTTACAAAAAGCATCAAGAAAGAAGAAAGCTAGTACTAATTCTCTTAATTTATAGTTTTTGTAGGTACTTGAATTCGAGTATAAAAAATAATATGTTGGCACTGCATATTTTATATTGGATATTTTTCACTCTGTTGATTGAAAGCAAGATGTAGGATGATTGATAGCGTTACAACAAATAAAAACGAAATAAAATGTTTAAGACACCACATCTACAGTAGCTGAACCAGAAATATCAACAAGTTCTTTGGAATAAAATGTGGCAATCAACTTCAGATTTCCTTCTTTTATTGGAGTAACTTCATATTCCAATGTGACATCTTCTAAAGGTTTTACGTCCCTGTAAATAGAAGAACAAAAATCAGCTATTCACATTTTATTTAAATAAAATATAAATATCTATAAAATATAATTTAAAAATATATATTGATAACACTAAAAAAGGCCTTTCAAAAAGTTGACACAAACGAGTTGTTGATAATATCTTTCAGAAAGTCAGTAATTTCAATTGACATGCATAATTATCATACAAGAATTATGTACTAATATATTAAATAAGTTCAACAACATGTTGGGGACCATCAAACCAAACCACCAGCCAAATTCAACAAGAAAACAGAGAAATTTTGCAACTGAAAGTTGCATTCCTAACACAGGCGCTTGAAGGCCTTTAAAAAAATACTACTCCCCCTTTTTCCCAAAAACTCGGGTTCCAACAGAAATTGCCTGCCCTAATAAAACTCGTAAAAGTATGAACAGAAAAACAGATTTAAGGGACATCTTGTTTTTGACTTGAGCAGGATAAGAACGTGAATTGTAATTTATCTTGTATGACAAGTCTGCAAACTTATATTTCTTCATTCTAAATATGTTGGATACTGAACTGGGGAGTTATTCCTTATTTAGCAGTAGCACACTTACAGGGTTTTGTGCTGATGGTTTCTTATAAATTGTCAAAAATCTATAATGTGTCATCGATCCTTAGCGTATTATAAATAGAGGATCAAATAACGCTCATAATTTTGATCACTAAGTAGTCGCTTTTATTATTTAATTATAATCACCGGAAAGATTATTCTTACAACTTAAATATTTAGTATGTATTAAGAAAGTTTGGTGTCGTAATGATAAAGAAATTGATATAAAATGCAGCTCATAGGAAACAAAAACAGTTCTCGTCAAGACAGAACTATATAAAGGGTAGTCACACAGAGACAGGGAAATCAAGAGCGCTGTAGCTTCAGTCTGTATAGTTTCGGTACTGTGACGCATCCCAATGAATATAAATACTGCCCCAAATAACTAAAATTGACAATTTTAATAAAGAGACAAACAGTCAAAGGTGCAAGGTTAGAAGTGTAGAGTTATTTACTTCTAAAAATCCAAGGAACTGTACTGTTAGCAGACCTATGAGAAGTGAATAAATGAACAAAGAATATTTAGGAAAGAAATAAACAGGTGCTCGAACTCTAGATTCTTTGAGAATCACAAAAACTTTTATTAAATGAATGTTCATAGTAGGCAAAGACAATTGAATGTTTTACATGTGATGTGTGATGGCAAAAATGGTCTGCGTAATGCGTCTGGATGGTGCTTGTTGGCAGTTGTCAAGTGACTTGCGCTATTCTTTCTTAAATTTTAAATTTTGATTCTTTTTTTAATTAATTCATGTAGTAGTTTAGGCTAGCACGTTTTGATTTTTGTTGTTTATTTATTTCAGTCTATTTTACTTTAGTTAATTTAGTTCGTTGTGTTACAAACCTTTTTCAGAAAGAAATACGATAAAGAACTGTTAATGTATAGAGGAAACAGGATTCAAACAATTAATGAGATCACGTTTAAATATTGTAATTTCATTAGAATAAATATTGAATTTTTATTGTCAAAACCAAGTAAAAGGCTGATAATTTGTTGTAGTAGTGCCATAAGGTTTCCAATATCAGGTTTAAGACAGCAGAACTTCCAGGAATCGGAGATCTCTACAGTGTTGCACGTTCACATATAGAGTAAATTAAAAAGGTAGCTGAACCAATGCATTTATATGTCAAACCAAAATGTGCTCAATGTAAATTGTTGTCAGTTATTGTTGATGAATGTCAAGCTAAAGAACAGTGCAGGGCAAATTATAATTTTCAAGAATCAATTTAGTGATAAATATAAAAACAGTCAGGGAACATAAATGATTAAGTTAGAAGATTAATAAAAGTGAATAGGAAGTTAATATATCAAAATAATTAATAATTAAGTATCAAGTGGTTATATCTCATGTGTCAACTTTCTACCCGAAGAGTGCCAGAGATGTGTCCGTACGTATGTATGTATCTGTGTGTGTGTGTGTGTGTGTGTGTGTGTGTGTGTTGGGGGGGGGGGTGCATGTGCCCACCTGTACTGGACGACGGGGCGAGCCGTGCGGATGAGCCCTGGAGCCTCCAGGCGAATTTTGCATTTGGTCAGCGTCTTCTTGAGCGGGTTCTTGAAGCTCAGTTTCGCGACAGCAGCCTCGTTCACTTTGAGCGTGTCAGGAAGCTGAGGAAATGCATTGATAACATATACTTAATTGTAACAATAATAAAACACGAATATTAGAAAACAGCGACTTATTTTGTGAATTAAAACAAAAACAAATGTACATTGAATTATTGTGATTTGCTAGCGCGATGTTTGAAAGAAGGAAAATACAAAACCATAAAAACTTCATTCGTTTAATTTATTATACAAAATGGATTCCTTATTGCATTTTCATACAACATACTGTAGATCGTTATATAGTTCATTCAAGTGAGTAAGAAGTGCATATCTTTAGTCGACTAGTGACGTGAAATCCTTACTAAGCCACAAATTAAAAAATGGTCATTATGAAATAATTAGTTGAGTTCATATTTACCTTGACAGTAATGGGAGGCTTGATGACAAGGAAATCGTCTTCATCTGCCCACGTGTACCGAGTGTCTACAACAGTTGCGATGGCGCAGATCTTCATGTTGCAATATTCCACAAGTTTTTCCAAGTATTCATCTGCATGGACCTTTAAGCGCAATTTCTCTTCTGCAAATATACAAAAAGCAGCCCAGCGTCAAATATTTTAAACCACAATTTCGATACTATTTCTATTTACCAGGCATGTGACATATATCTAAAAATATGCCGTTTACAATCTTTCTTTGTACATTCGTTTTAACAAATCATTATATTTCACTGATGAGACTGATACATCTGTATAGAAAAGATATGAGGTTCCCCGTATTAGCAATTATTAATTGTGTTATGCTTATTTGCTAGGCGTGACAATGTGAGCTGATCACAAGCTGTCACATTCATTTCAGCATGAAAGTCCTGCGTAGGGTAGGCATTTATAGCAGTACATTGCTTTTTGAAATACTTGAAAAAATTGACTTTTCTTACGTTATGATCACTGTTTTAGGGATGTGTCCCGTTTGTATGGACTGAGTGTGTGGGAATATTTTTATCTGTAAACTAATGCGTTTCTGTGGTTGCATACTTCAAAAATAAAATAATCAACCTTAATTTCTGTAGTATATGACAATTACATAAACGTTCGTTTCAAATTAATTGCAATACTGGAATTGCGATGCTATTCGATTCATTTATATATTTTTAATAAATTTTGTTTGTATGTTACCTGAGAGCAGGCTCGGGCAATAATAGGGTAAGGTGGATAGCTATACCCACACCAACATTTCTGAATGGGTACAATTCCCGCTCGGAATTTTGGGTGTGAGAAATTTTCCATAAACGTCAAATTCCAGAAATGAACGAAGATTTTTGGTATTACGTCGACTGAAAATGTTTATGCGTTCAACTATGTTGCAAGGATAAACAGTATTGCGATTTTACATGTTTATAGTGAAGTGACTGACAAAATAGATTTGCAAAAATTGTTAAATGAGTGTACATAAATAGTGCAACGCTCAGCGCTGTTTTTGCATTGCAAAAATGAACTGCTGAAGTTACATACAATAAATGTGATAACAATTTAATGCTAACCAGACAATTTGAAAAATATATGTTTTTCCCTGCATGTATCTTTTTGATGGGAGCTGTAGGGGAAGGTTGTTCCGCAGCAGGATTAACTACTCATCCGAACTTAACACCAATCGCCGGCCCTGCCCAAGAGTAGAGAGAAATAATTGCATTTGTCGAGATTAGACTCTTTAGTGCTTACTGTTATTAGGGTTGATCTTGAACTTGCCCGACGCTTGTTTGATTGGATGAGCTTTGATGCCATTGTAGTATATACTTTCTGATGACAGCATAACGTCCACAGTGCGCACTTCAGTTGCTTTGTTCTAAAAAATAAAAAATACAAAATACTGTTGAGAATTTCTTAACTATAATACGGGCAACGGGCAAGCTGATAATCACATGTTTATATATATAGTTTCACAATCATAATATTACAATACTAACGTTAGCATTTCATTGTGTAATAAAAGATCTAAGAAAAGAGCGTCAGGCGTTTGTCAGATCGGTCCATAATAATGGAAACATACCATAACTTTGTTCCTTCAGCAGAAGCGGCGTAGTATAATTGTATCAAAATGTGTTTTAGGAAATATAAATAATTTTATTTTCAGAGTTATTTATTTCAAGAATTTTGTTATCAATAAAATATAATTTATTAAAATTAACACAAATTGCGAGCACAGAAAGTTTAGCGTTCGGCAAATTCAAACGAACGGTCGCTCACTTCTCGCAAATAGTTAATGGAGGGTGGCTTCTATCTTGGAGCCTTGTTGTCACATGTCAGCTGTGACGTAAGCAGTGACGCTGTGAGTATTATAATTCAGTCGGTACGCTCAGTATGATAACAGGCGGATTAACACACAAAATATTTACGTTTTTCGGGGAAAATCAATTTTTTTCCGAATTCCTGGGTATTTAGCAATAAATCTCGCATGGAAAGAGGTTGCCAAGTTTTCTTTCAATTTCTGCGCGCATTGGAAGCACACGCCACGCGGCGAGTGCGTGGCTGCAAGGGCAACTCACGTGAATGTTGACGGTGACTTCAAAGGGTTCGCCGATGTTGATCTTGTCGATGTCTTCGAGCTCGAAGGCCACGTCTGCGCTTTTGACGTCCGGCACCTGGTAGAACCGCTTGGCCCGCTCCAGGCTGCGCACGCCGTTCATCAGGGACAGACGCTCCTCTTTGGTGCCTGCGGAGCAGCCGCGCTCTCTTCGGAAACAGCTCAAGTGATCGAAAAAGAAGATTCTGGGAAGGGGAGGCTATCCGAAAACACTATAATTTCGGTTACACCTCACAATTTGCGTATTGGAAATGACCTAGATGCCCGCATTGAATCTAGAGGGCGTTGTTGTCCTGGCGGGAGTGGGGATGGGGGGTGAATGAAGTAGACGGGGCAGGCAATGCAAGTATGATGATAAGGGCGGGAAGAGCGGGTGGGTCGGAAAAAGAAGATGGGAGCGCAAAGTCGGAGAGGCAGGCGGCACTGCAGTTCGTTGGTTGTTTTTTATTTTTTAATTTTTGGGTTTCCGGGCAACTCAACTGCTAAGGATGACATTACTGTAAGTATAGTGCACGTTTTCTTCGGGAAGTGGCGGTGATCTATCCCTGCTGGATGGTGATGGGACACGTCGGCTAGTGGGGTATTCCTCAACCAGTAATATCCCAACAGAGAGGCATCGCCGTGCCGGGACAAGCTCTAGGGCCCCGACTAGGTCTATGGCAGTATAGGGCATGCAAGCGTAGGGGTGTGTAAGGTGTGAGGATAGGAAAAGAAAGAGAAAAGGAAGATCGCGCGCGGTCTATGGGCCGTTTGTTAGGGTACCTAGCCATCTAGCTAGTGTCGGAAATTGTGCCACGGTCGGGATTCGAAGCCTAGGCCTTCTCGGTCAGAGGCACTGCTGCAGTTGGAGAGGTGGACGGTGAGGCAGTTGGGGATCTGCGCCCTGGCAGCGCCGGGTAATCACTAGTACTCTACAATTATAATAACAAAATACAATACTATACGTACTCATCTAGTAATACTGAAACATGTTAGTAAAGCATTTTAAAATTTTCAGTTTTACTCAGTGACTCATTCATGGAGAAGTTTATTATTTACTAGATCGTAATAGACCCAACTCAATTACCTATCATAAATGATCGTATTACAAAACGTTAAAATTTTTGAAAAAATATATAAATTCTATATTATATGATAAAAATAAATTAATTTAAAAAATAATATTAGAGTTTGCTTTCCATGTGCAGTAGTTTTTGATATTCTCAGTCCCTAAGGGTAACAGGAACACGGCGAGACCGAGTTCCGAGACTCGTCGCTAGAATGCGCGAGATGTACTTATGTGCAGTGCGCTTACCCTCCTGTGGTTTGTAAGTGTTGGTGATGTCTTCGCGATCCTTGTCTCCGTTGGGGTCATAGATCCATGGTTGCTTTGTGAGAATAATACGGCCAATGCTGAAAACAGATAACATTTATTTATTATTTAATAATGAACACTTCATAAAGATGTAAAGCAGAAGAGTAAAAACTACGAAGAAAACGTATTCAATGTAACATCTGGTATTGTTTTTCTATTTTCCTGTTGTTCAATGACTCAATTATTCACAATTGATACTCCTCCAAAGCTAAATCATTGTGCATATTTTTATCAGTAATCCAGCTAGAAGAGCTGTGTTAGTGGTTCCTTTGTTAGATAAGGGGATTTGCATTCAGGCTTGTCGATTTAGGGTGGTGAAAATCGTATGCCAAATGAATACAGAATGTCGGCAATAATAAGCATCACTAGTAATTTTATACGGATATATGTAAAGTTCACAAAGACGTTAGTTCTAGAATGCGGATCCAAAAAACTTATCTCGGGCGTCACCTGTCGTCCCCGCAGGATCTCCCGCGCTGATTGCTTGGTTACTGTACTCAGATGTTCCCACACATTATTTCATCGGAATGTCACATATTCTCGCCTTGAACCGCAGGTGTTTCCTAAATGTTGTCCCGCATATTCCCCACGTGTGTATCAGAAAATTAAACTGGAAATTGAGGAGAGTATTCTATGTCGTGTTATATTGCTAAATCCTTTCCTAAATCTTAAGTAACGTTAAGTAGCTGGTTACTGATCCAGCAACGAACAAATACGGAACGACAGTCCGGACGGAACGACAGTACGGAACGACAGTCGTCCAAATACGGACGACCTCTTACATGGCATTAACTAGTTCAATAATGACCTTGTACACATTTGCTTGTGTTTGCACCTCCGTCTTTCTTGATCTATTGAACGAAATTCGTACTGCCTGCATCCACATTCATTTGGTGCCCTATGTTGCCTTTAAATATAATATGCCTACTCTGTCGATCGCAAACAACCTTCATGTAGAGATTTGTTTTTGTGGAAATCACGTGGCAATTGCAAATATTACTTGGTTACTAATGAGTATGCGGCTGGAGAGCGTGTTCATTAACAAGCAAATGCCTGGAAATTTCAGTGAGGTTGTATCGCATGTGGAAATAATTAACCGGCCTGCACATAAAAATACTTCAACGAGCGAGAGTACTTGATTTTCTTCTGTTTGTGATGTACAGTAATTTGTTCACATCATGATTGTGCATTTCTAAACCCCTCGAATTCAAAATGTGGTGGTATTTTAGTAAATGAAGGTAACTTTTCTCTCTCTAGTGTTCGCGACCATATATTCGAAATTTCAAATCAACATTTGGAAACTAGTAAAGCAGTGGCAATTGCGCCTCCTTAGCAGTGTACAACAGAATACGGATTAGGCGCCTCGGAGGTGAATGAAGTGCAATGAAACGAGGAGGTGGATGCAGTGCAACCATAAATCTGCTTCTGAGTAGCAGCCTTTCGGCATAGTGGCTTCCTCAGACAAAATGCTGAGGCTATTTGACATTAAATGTAATAAGATATGATAGTTGATTGTTCCAATGTATGGAATATAACCTTTCGTTATTAACTGAAAATAAAAAGTAATGTTAAAACCATTCTTCGACAAAACACTAATTTTACTTTCTCGCCCTTACAATAGTACTTCCTAAGAAGAGAAAGTTATGCGATCGTCGGAAAACGGTAAATGTTCAGCAGAAAAATTCTTATTGTCAGGCCCTGGTAATTAAAAAGCAGATAAATTCAGTTACTAGGTGTAGAAAAAATCCTCTAATATATGGTGTAGCCAGATTTCATGTTTTATGGGCCCTTGATACGGAAAATTCGATTGACGGCTAAACATATCTGTCCGTCTCTCCGACTGTGGTAAACGGTACCGCCCAAACCTTTCTGCCGATTTTCTCCAAAAGTTATATTACCCCATCGATCTGAACAAACTCGAGGCTTTGGAAGTTTCAAACGGATATTTTGATTTTTGAGGGTTTTTACATGAAACTAGCATTCACGTTTTTATGTGTCTACCCGAGTTCGAACCATTCGGTGCTTCTGTGGTGTAGAGGTACAAGTGACGACAGGTTAACTCTTAGGATCTGATGAAAGCATAGACCTCCGCTGCCGGAGTCAGTAGCTGCGTGGCTGTTCGGGAGACTCCGCGTCCCTGGCACATGTGCCAACGTTTCGGGCGCGGCCTTTCTCAGGGCGAAAATAGTTAGCGCACGAGTAAATATAGGGTTCTGTTCCCCTCCAACCGCCAGCCGGTTCGCCGAGTGATCGGCCAATGCGACGAGAGCATGGGCCAACCAGGGAACGGGCCCTCCGGGCGGGGTGCAGGAAGGCCCTCCGCGCTCGGTCGGACGTCCCAGGGCGGCGGTGACGGCGCCGTGACGCGACCGGGCGTCGTGGTGAAATGGATGTTTCCAGGCCTCGTGGAGACGTCGGCCTTGGTCAGCATTACAGTTTTGAGGATTTTTCACAACTTTTGGGGTATTTCTCAAAAAATTGTTTTCTGTGTTATGTGACTCTATTCACCAGGGAGAAGTGAATAGGGATGTTGTGATACATCTCATACAATTATTACTCTGATAATTTGGAACTTATACCTAGGTTTCGGTACTGCACACACGTCATTTGATAATATCATTCAATATCTCTTACAATCTTAATAGCACGGAGGTTAAGGAAGCAATCTTCTCAACGTCCTTCTTGCGTTTGTCACATTTACATTTTGTTTGACTCCGCATCTGCGATTTTAAGTATTCTTCTCCCGTTTCAAACGGATGAAATGAAAATTAATGTTTAGATAATTATAGTTCAATTTCAATATATTTATTAATTTCAAATTTGTAGATAAAAATGCAAAGTTTTATGAAGATACCTGATGCGATACTGATATCAGTAGTTTTATTTCGATATCATGTGCTTTTCTAGTGGTATCGAACCTTTGGAGATTCTATGTCCTCTTTCTTATGATCTTCAGTCGCCAGTCTTTTCCTTCACAAGTGAGATGAATGGGTTTTATGGTTCGATGATTGATTGATTGATTGACTGATTGATGTTTCAGGACACGGCAAGTGCTATGGTCATTTTCAGTCGTAGTGAAGCGCAAGTTTTTATACCGAGAGGTGGCGGTGTTCCTTCCGCGGTGGAACGTGAGATTTTGAGCGCCATACTACTCTGCTAGGGACCTTTTCCTCTTTAGGCATCTCCCCATTTCACCGTCCCAAGCGAGACAAGCTCTTCGCTCTCGCATTGTCTCCCAATACGTGTGGGGAAGTAGTGCATATACGTGTGTGTGCGCGGGGGGGGGCGAGCGAGTGGAGGGACAAGAATCGCGGTGCATGGCCTGTTTGCTAGGGTACTCCTCCGGCATTCGACTCATATATGAGAACCAGTTAGTGTCGAAACAACGCTGCTGCTGAGGCAAAAGCGTTGCAACTGCGATATCTGAGGGGGCAAGAGAGGAGCACGTACTGGTACTTGTTGGAGTCGATGCGCTCGTAGCCCAGGTCGCTCTCGCCGCTGACGTCGCGCTTCCAGCGCATCACGTCGGCGTTGACCTCCGCCAGCAGGAAGGGCACGTCGTAGTTGAGCCCCACGGCGCCGTTGCGGATCGCCTCCAGCGACGCCGGGCCGCACTGGAACAGACCTGCGCCGCCCCCGTCAAACAAAAGTGGACAGAAAACAAATGGGGAAAATTTTGAAAATGAAAAGTATCCCCAAATACCCCCTTGCCCACAAAATTTAAAGAATTCTGTTGAAAATCCCAGAGATTCGAGTCGAGCTCTGAGTCCCTTATGAAGCCCAAGAGTTCGTAACATTCATCGTGCGACATCCTGTATAAGTGAGCCGTGCGCGCGTTGTGTGTGTGTGTGTGTGGGGGGGCACTCACTGTCGCTAGTCTCCTGCGGCGTGGCGTCGATGGCCTGCCAGCCGCCGTAGCCCTTGGGCAGGTCGGGGCGCGCCATCCACACCTCGTTCCACACGTGGTAGTTCCAGATGGAGTCGTTGCCGTACGGGTTGAGCGGGTCGTCCTCCAGCGGCATGTTCTTCTCGTCGTAGTAGCGGTCCACGGACAGCGTCTCGTTGGCGTCGTGCGCCGACACCAGGTTGGACACAGGCCGCGACGGGATGCCCAGCGCCCGGCACACTGCGAGACACAGCCCTTAACACATTTCCTTCTCTTTCTGCGCATTAATTATTTAGGAATATTTCGATGTCTGCCTTCGAGTTATGATAGCCTTCGAGTTATGATTAAAAACGTAAAATTATTTTCAAAACACATCCTATGTCAGAAGGAGCGTTTGTGCCGTCCACTTGTGGCTACTCACTAGCAGAAGAAACAACGGTTTCACCAGAACTGCTTCGTCAGTGAACGGGTGACGATTTACATGTCACAAAAAATTCTGAACGGCGCCTTGTGTCCACCACGTGACCGAGGGTGGCATGTGGCTCAATGGACTTCACTGCGAGATCACGCCGTCGGCTAGCGGACTGCCAAAGTGTCTGACGGTCGAGCGAGCGAGCGAGAGGGCGCACGAGGCTGCAAAGGGACAGGCGAGCAACCAGTTTTGGGCAAGTGAGGAAAAGTGAGCGAGTGAAGAAGAGTGAGCGAGTGGCTAAGGTGCAAACGAGCAGATGGGCAAGCGTGCGAACGAATTACTGGACATGGTGGAAAGTGAGGGGTGGTGTCAGCAGATGGGTGAGCGACATTCGGCAGATTTGCCATGCGAGCCAAAGGCTAGGTAGTGTGGGCGTCGTGATGAGAGGTGAGAGAGTCAGCGCTCTTGTGGTCGAGAGACAGCGGGCAGACGAGCGAGCAAGCGCGTGAGTAGGCGAGGGGTTGGACGCAGGGACGGGCGAGAGAAAGGGTGGGCGAGTCAGCGAGCGTGAGCCGGCCCGCCCGAAAGCGGTTTGCGGCGGTTGCAAGCGGCTATTGCGCCGATAATGGGATTAGCTGGGGCGCAATTGGCCCTGGAGCGGCCGGCTGCCGGCGACACAGGTTTACATTGCGCTCGCGGCCTCGTTAAACGAAAGCGCGCGCTAATGGCCGCTCCTCTGGAGGCCTCCCGCGAGGCCCTGATTGATTTTTGAAACACCTCGTAGCGGCTGCGAAGCCCTCTTTCTCTGAAGCAAATAACCATTTGGAGGCTGAAAAGAGAATGTATGTAGGTAATTTAAAAAAATTGGTGTTCGTTTCTGTGATCTTCCAATTGCAAATGCTTTTTCGCTCAGGACTGGTTGGTTGATTAATGGGAGTGTTGGCTGCAATGGACACTTATCTTGTAAGTATAGTTCAGGTTTTTGCCACATGGAGGGAGGGTGATCTTTCCCTATGCATGATAAGACTGACGCCGACCTACAAGTTGGTCGATTGATTAATTGATTGGGTGGCGTGAAGTGGATGTGAAGTGTGGCACATGTTCGAGGTGATAATGATTCGCCGTCCTATTTCGGCTTGCAGGGTTTTCCGCAACCAGACATCTCCCTCCAAGGGGGCATCACCCCAGGCAGGACAGGCTCTGAGCTCGACAAGTCTGGTAGTGTAGAGTATGTGAGTGTGTGTGCAAGGGATGCGGAGAGGACAAGGAAGAGAGAGTAAAGGCCGCGCGCGGTCCATGGTCAATTTGATCGGTTACTACTTCGAGATTTAGTCTTGTGTTCACCAGAGAAAGCGCAGATAACTACCAACCAGAGCAGCCTGCTGCTATAATTCTCTTCCACACAGCAACCTAGCTGTCTACCTAGTGTAGAAAATCGTTCCACCGATGGGCTCAACCCTAGCAATGCAGTGACTTGAGTTGATGCCATGAGCCACCTGAGCCGATAACGCCCAGGATATTCCATATCCTTTCATAGAACGTATCAGTATTGTTCGAATCTGGAGTGAGGTATTGACATGTTTCTAGAAACAGGGCATTAGACATCAACAACAGTAACAATACATGTATAAGAATTAAATTATGCAGTCAAGTGAATAATGTTGGCACGATCACAATGGAAAGTTTAATGGGAACGAAAATAATGTAAGGGATGTACTAACCTGTGGTGACGACGCCAGCGAAGACCCAGCATTGGCCGTATCTGACTGTGGATCGGTTCTTGAGGTACTCCTCGAGGATGGCGACGGAGCCGGTCCACGCCGCCGGCGCGGTGCCGTCGTCGTAGTCCCCGCTCCAGTTGCCTTCCAGGATGCCCCCGTCTGCGTCGTTGCTGTTCACCTGCGCAACGCAACGCAATGCTCTCTCAAGCTGCTACTCTCACTGGCACAGAAATATACATTTAAAGTGCTTGCCAGTAGAAGCAATGGCTACACTTCGTCCCATTAATAGATTCTGATTACATTTCTGCCCTGCCATAAGTCGTATGGCTGACCATCCACATCCGACACGTGGGTATGAAATGCAATTTGTATCTGAGATTCTTGTGACTACCGACTACACCATTTACTGATTGTTAATTATAAGTACCCAAATGCGTGGCACTGATCACCAGTTACCACCGACTCTGGGATATACATCTTGAATATATGTTACAAATGATAGTGTTTACAACTTCTCTGAATGATCGATCCTGTTGGTCATGCCACTACCACTAGGTCGTTTGTGCGGTCACACAAGGCCACACCGCTCTGAGATATTAGAGGCGAAACGGATGCAGGATGCGTGCGTTGTGGGAACTCACCATTTGGGAAATCTTGCGCGTGAGGAGCACGGGATCCCCGCGCACCTGCGGCTTCATGCGCGAGCGCTGCAGCATGTACATCGTGGCCTTGAGGACGACTGCGTCGAACTGGCCGAACACCCACTCGCGGCCTCTGGTGCCCGTGTGCGGCCCCACCCAGATCTTGCCCACGTCGTTCAGCACGTACTCCTCCAGCAGGCGCTCGTTGTCCAGGAACGTCTGGTCCTCTGCGCATGCGTGCGCACACAAACTCATGAGCTTGCCCATAGGCCTCGAGCATGTGTTAGAATGTTTGATTCAGGAGCGATTCCCGGCGCGTCAACGTCCCGTAAGAGTAGGGCATGTTATAATGAAGTTTATGAGTCGGTTGAATGTAAAATGTACTCAGGGTTGCAACTAGCTCCCTAAAGAGGAGATCTAGGGACAGTCGGTGCCTGTAAAATAGTCCCAAGATTTGCTCCTTGCGAAGCCTTGTGGAAGCTGGTTGCGACCCGTAGTAATTTTATATTCAACCGACAAGTAACATCTTTATTCGTGAATTAAAATAATAATAATAATAATAATAATAATAATTATCATTATTATTTATTTTCATAAATATTAATATTAGTATTATTACTACTGTTAATCAAGTGTGCCGAAAGTTGGGAGGTTGCGAGTTGAAGGTTATGGAGACACGATTTGATGTACTACGAATATTATTTTAGTGTGGTATAATTATGTTTATCGTTCATTATTCACGTAATTTTGTGCTGAGTGTGACGTTATTGTAGTTTTCCAATTGTTATTTTTGTGATACGCGTATATTTCAATCATACGCAAATGTTATCATGAATATAATACACGCGAACAAAAATAGTGTATCCATGAAGCATTAAACGTTTTCTTTGATCTAATAATCAGTTCAGAATTAATTTGCAAACTTTTGTTTTATAATTAATACCTATACAATTTGTTTTCTTGTACTGTTAAAAGACTGTTGACACTTCCGCATCATACCAAATCCACTGGCCCTGGGTTCATACGAGCATAAAAAGAAGTATTTCAATACAAACATTAAATTACATGAATTATCCATAACAAGTACATAGATTCCAAAAAAGATAGATTAGGTGTAATTATAGTTGACATTTAATTCAATCTTAAACATATTAATAAATTAAATACTTTAATTTAAACGAAGCTAAGCCTTTAAATGATGAGACGTACTCCTTCTACACTTGGAATTCTTAGAAGTTTTCTTTTATGAACAAACTTAACAACCTGATTTTCGTAAGAACATTAATTCTCTTTGATCTCCATAGGGCTGACGTTACGCTGGATTCTTGGCTCACTAAGTTATTCATTTTCAAAAGTTTCTTCATAAGATCTACGTTATGTTTCTGAGTAACTATTGAACAAGATACAACTCTCTTAGTCACCTCTTGCTGTTTTATCAGAATTAGTACAAAGAAATGTCCACATTGCAGTAAAGTGTCAATTATTGGAATGAAAAAAGTGGGTAATTATTGGAATATTATTCGTGTACAATTTTAGTTCGATTTTTAATAGAAGCTCCGGAAGTTTGTCGTTCGTATGGACGGGTCTGCCAACGCTCGGTGGCGTAAGAACGGAGCGACATTTTGTTCAATTAGAAGTACGTTGGGCGTGTACGAGTAGTAAAGAAATATCTCTTTAGCTTCTCCCAATGAGGCAACATAAATTAAAATATCGGAAAGAAAAAAAATCTCAAAACATTGAATTGAAAGTACTTGTTCGATACAATTATGCGAATTGTCGGTCAAGCATATATGGTCATAATTGTTGTTTTTTTTAATTATTTTTAGCGAATATAATATTACTTAACATTTATCAAATAAATTGTTACTGCGAATCAGGCGTGTGAATTTTTGCTACCAGGCTCAAATTTTGTTTGCTTCAATAAATAGAATAGCGAAAAACATGTTCCAATTTTTGAAGATGCAATTCACGAAACATTTTTAATCCAATGAACAAATTGTTAAAATAATAATTGAAATACCCAAACTCAGTTCGTCTTATCGATAGGGAAAATTTGTAATATTTGCACTGTTGCAATTCGCAATAAATCAGCAAATTTGCAAGAAAATTTTAATTTAAATATCATTTATGATATACACCCACGAATTGTAATATTTGACCAGAATTGTACAAACATCAGACCCAATAAATGAGTTTCAACTACCGTATCTCTAATCCTGTAATATTTCTGGAAGTGATTTTTTAATCGACTGCGCAGGAGGAGACTTCCATTCGCTGCCAGCCGAGTGGGTGGCGCAGATCCCTGGAAGCGAGGCAGCTGCCGCGTGGGCGATGGACGCGGGAAATTACTCTATCGGATGGACTGATCGGTGTTTCCGGCCGCACCGACAACGGAGGTCATTCGTCCCGTAAGTGTTGTGCTTGTTTTATCGCGGAGATCTTCCCCCGCTGGGTGGCGAGATCCGGAGCCCTCCTACGTCGGCTGCCGGGGTTCGAGTCCCCGCGGGTATCGTCCACCGGCGGGGCACCGCCCCAACCGGGACACGCTCTGAGCTCACGACTGGTCTCCCGATAGCAAGTGTAGTCTGTTAAGTGTATGTAGGTAAGGGGAGAGGATGCAAGGAAGTGAAAGGAAAGATCGCGCTCGGTCCGTAGCCCGTTTGTTGGCATATAGTGCTCCACCCTTCACTTAGATTTAATCGGAAAACTAATGATCAGAGAAGTCGACCGCTAGAATTCTCCTCCAGACAGCGGCTGAAGTCGACCTAGCTGTGTAGGTAGTGTCAATCCTGTCACCGTGGGGACTCAAATCTTAGCACCTTCCGGTCAGAGGCACTACAGGGGCATCAGTTGACGTCACCCTGAGCCACTTCAGCTGCTTCCTTTTTTATTGGAGTTGCTGCTGGAGAAGACGGGGTGGGGAGATCTATCAAGGAAATAGGCAGGACGGCTTGACTCTATTGATGCAGATGGCGCTGCGGTTGCGGAGGGAAAGTGGTAACAACGGCACAATATCGAACGGTAAGAGCAATGATGTTTTTGAGTAAATGTCGTCGTTTAAGAGGGGAGGAGTTTTCAAAATCGGTCTCTAAACAAACAGACAGAGGAAAACGTTCTTAATGGGCACCCTTTTCGTAAAATTCACGATCTTAAAAATGAATTTATTTGGAATACTTTTTAAATAAATGTTTTAAAATTACATTGTTTTATTGCAAATGGGGAATCATAATCTTACCTCACAGGATATTTGATGCTAATTGTCCAAATATCAAGTACGTGAAGTTATTTTCATTATTTTTGTGCTGTTTCGAAAACTATGTACAGAAGCACCTATATTTTGTAAGACTTTGCTGCAGTTAAAAATATTATTTGTTATTTTTTAGATTAAAAATAATTTAATGTAGAGAAATATAATACTAAAAGTAGATCTATTTACAAAATATGTCATATTTTCATACATTCCAAAGAAGGAAAAGGAGCGAACGAGTGTGATTACAGCCGTTCGTTCACAGGGGGATATGATGGCTACTTCTGGCTGTGCTGGACATACGAGGTAAAACATAAACTGCGGACCCCTTTAATAACGACTCTGAAGGTAGTTTGTGTATGTTAAGCATTAATACGAGCATGGAAGACAACAGATGGGACAGTGAAAGCATAGTTAAAAGGCTTCAGGTACTGGTTGACAGGAATTGCACATGTCGGGACATCAGTTGATTTAGTCACCTCTCATTTAATCTAGTAGGTATTTCATTAATTCTGGAAGCCGTAAATTTTATTAAGAGTAATTCTGCTCTTATGAAAAAGAGACCGGGAGCAGATGAGAATTTAATGGCGACTAAAAGGGCGGCAATGGTAAATTCAGTGACGGTGAACTGGGTGCGGAAATAGGGACAGGGGCTGGTCGAAGCAGTGTGGGTGAATGAGTCGTAAGATTCACAGAAAGTTACGAGTAGAGAGGGAGTGTTTATTAATTGTAGGCGCATCGTTTTCTAGGTCATTATTCCCATTAGCGTAGTGTATGTTTTATCCGCGAGATAATGGTATGCCCTTCTGATTCGATTCGGCACCGACCTATACGCCGGCTTAGAGATTTCCCCCTTTGATATCAACCCCAATGGGACACACTCTAGCTCCCGACTGTTTATCCGGCATAGGTAATTGTGTAGTGCTTGTTGAAGTGTTGTTTAAGGGGAAAGAAGGGGAAATTGACTAGAAAAGAAAAATCGCGCGCGGTTCGTGGCCCGTTGGTTAGGCTATCCCTCCACAATTCGCTTGGAATTGTTAGAAGATTCTAAGGTAAACTATCGATGTGAACACCCAGCCGCCAGAACTCTCCTCCAGAGAATTCCACCGAGCTTCGCAGCCCGAAAACCCGCCACCGCCGGGGCTCGAACCCTAGGCCTTTTCGGCCAATGAGGCTCCGGATGATCCTATTGAGCCTTCGCTGTCGGCGGGTGTTGGGGCCCTGGGCCCCTGGAAGCAGTGCGGGACATTAACGTGATGGTGTGGGGATGAGGTGGAGAACAATGGTAGCAGTCGGAGGCGGACGGCGGCAAGAGGATGTGCAGAGCGGGTGGCGAGGGGTTAAGAGCCAGTCGCGGAGGGCGTGGTGGACAGTGTGTGTGTGTGCAGGGGAAGCGCGGCGCGGCCGAACTCCCGGAGAAAGCCCACGGCTGCGTTAATTACCTTTAATATTAGAGCGCGCCGCTCTCTGATTCAATACGAATGCGCGGATCGGAATTAGCTGTGGGAGTTGATCGTGACATCGATCCCGGGACTGCCACCGACTGCCCGCCAGGTCACCGCCAGCTGGCACCGTAGACAACCAGGCGATTCTCGCGACGTAACGTTGACTACTTCACCGGGGCAAATGCCCTTGCCAATTTCCACTGATACGTCTCCACTCTGAAACCTGTTATGTGTGCCGCACACTCGGTGATTTACTAGTTGCTAGAGTTCAAAATGACGAACTATAATTTGTATAGTTCAAAATGCTGTATAAAAGAGGTCAACCACCCTTAATGGTACATGAAAGAGATACAATTAATAAATGTTAAAAATATCTGAGTTTCGTCACCTCTGCAAACAATGAAAGTTAAGCCTCGACTACTCACAAGCCGAAGCTCTTCCGATTATTGGAAAACGAGATATTTAAGGAGCAGGAACAGAAATCCACGCGCGACAATTTAGAGCTAATATGTTGGAAATGAACGTTTGGGTATTTTTATGCTTAACGTTTAAAAGAATTGCTATATCATTTATTTAAATACTTTGTTGCTCTCTTCATTAATTTCAACATACGGTAAAATAATCAGTTATTGAAACATACTGTTGACCTATTTCTTCTGATAACATCAATGTATTAAGATAATTGACGCAATTAGTAAAAACTTTTTCATCGTCATAATTAATTGATGAAGAAAATATACAGAGTTAATCTTATCATCTTGTTATTTTCCGGAATAAATGAACTTTACTGCAATTGAAGATAAAACATCAAATGATTTTAGATATTAGTTCACAATTTGGGTCTTATATTATCTCTGGACGTTTTGTAAATCTATTTAACAGAATGGATGGATATATAAAATTTTCATTTCTGATATATATATATATATATATATATATATATATATATATATATATATATATATATATATATTGTAATACAAATTTATACTTTTAAGCTTATTAGTATTACAATTTTTTGAATTACTTCTGTCTAATTATCATTTGAATTAGAGGAAGTGGACTGTGAATTTGTATGTAACAATATATAATTTCAGGAAATAGAGGTTTAGTCTGTTTAGTTTTGATTGATGTATATTTCCGAGCACTTCATCTACTACTTTCATTAGTCCCGAAAGTGTAGTGAATATTTTATTGCGGAAGGCAGTGGTGTTCCTCTCCCTGTATGAAAAGATACAGCGCCGACTTATACGACGGCTTGCGAGGGAATATATTCACGTATTTCCCAGCAACGGGGCCCCAACCGTAGCAAACTCGTGTGTGTGTGTGTGTGTGTGTGTGTGTGCGTGTGTGTTTGTGAGGAGAGAGGACAGGAACACGGAAGATAGAAAGCAACGATCGCTGGCCGTGGCTTATTTGTTTGGGTACTGCTCCGTCATTTGCTGATGTTAATAGTAGAATCCGATGTAAGTAAAACGTGATCGATAGCCGTTACCGATCAGAACCGTCGACCGCTTAAAATTCTTGCCTTGAGTGTACCTGAAATCGACCTAGCTATGTAGCTAGCACCATCGCATCCTACAAGCTCCCGGTGAGAGTCGCAGTAGAGGTAGCGGCAATGCTCGCTCAGAGCTTAACTCACTTCTTTTGAGTTTTGAAATAGATATACGTTTAGTGTGCGCAGCTCATTAAAAACGGAGCAGTTTGCGTTGCACGTGACGACGTTACGTAGACACACACAAGTCGAAATTCCACAGCCGCCTTTAAAGGGGAGAGTGCGCGGCAGTGGATTGAACGCAGAGCAGCGGTTCATTAGAGCTCGTGAACGCTGGCCGTGGGGCGCCCGTGCCCGGCCGCTGGGCGCTTCATTCGCTGCGTGGCGCGGGGCGTGATCGATAGCACGCAATCAGCGGCCCTCCCGCGGCGCCGACGCGCGCCATATCATCCAGTCGTATAAAAATGTGCGTGACCAGGTGATGGGCATTTTAACTCTCATGTTCCTCATTTGTCCGCTGGCTGGCTGTGCGGAGGCGGCGGCGGCGGCGGCGGAGGGAGAAACGGCGAGGATGGCAGTGGCGGTGGTGACGTGTCCGTAACACCACTGCGTGGCAGCTGGCGATGGCAGGCGGTAGTGATAGCGGCGGTCGTGTTCGGTTGTGGTGAGGCTGGCTTGTCCATAGTGGTGGTGATGGTACGATGGTGATTGTGTGACAGTTGTGACCATGTCAGTAGCAGAGACGATGGCTGAGTTGATGGTGGTAGCGGTGGCGGTGTTGGTGAATCTGTCGGAAGGGGCATCTGCGACGACGGTGCGAAGGTAGAGGTGGTGGTGACGGCGCCGCCGACTGTGACGGTGGAAGTGGCGGCAGAGGGGGTGCGCGTGGGGGGTGGGGCGTGGGAAGAAGGGGGTGCGCGCCGAGTGGCAGCGCCGGGGGAGTCCCCGACAAAACACTCACGCGCCGCGCTCCCGCTGCGAGCGGTCAGCTCTACTTCACGCTGAGTGCGAACGTCCTCCGGGAAGCAGAGGGGTCGCGACGAGCGAGCGTGAAACGCAAGCTAGAACTTTATGTTGTTTAGGTGCTGGGGGTTCATTAGGCTGCCTTCAAAGTTCCGGTTGGTTGGATTAAGCCATTTAATTTTTTAACTTGAAATTAAATGAGTTCTTGAAGCGTAGACGCAAAATATGTGATATTTTTCATTAATTAGTAACTTAAATGAAAATCTTGCAAATCCTGCAAATATATGCAAATCCTTTATCATTAGGAGCTTACATTTTTTATAATATTCATCTTAATTTCTTTTTAGAAAAGAATGGTCCAGTATTGATCACAATTACCCTGTAAACTTTATGTACTCATTGCGTCAAGAAACATGACGGACACACATGTAGTGCGGGGAAGAAATATAATGTGAAGTGATGATTCGGTAAAAATGAACTGAAGGGGCCGGGAGTACGTAGTTGCAACTCTCAGTTTTCAAATCTATGTCTGAGAAAATATAGTGTGTTTGTATGTTAAGATATTTCTCAGTTGTTATATGCACTTTCTGCTACTTTCTGTTCACAAAAATCTGTTCTATGAATACTTTTATAAAATGATTGAATCGCGTTTATTTTTATGGCAAATTATTAGATCTTCATTCTGAATGTGAAAAAATTGTGTAATCATTATGACTCCTTAAATAACTATTACAAATATTATTTTAATTCCTCAATTGCTCAGTAAGCACGAAACGTACCTGGAATCCAGGGGTTGAAGAGCAGATATATGTCGCCTTCATATTTACTGAGGCGCTCTGCGTCGCTCCCTTCCTTGAACAAGGTCTTCACTTGCAGTTCCCAAATACCCACAGGGGCGTCGGGAGGGCTGGTAACCTGAGGATAAAGGTGCAGATCTTAAATTTTTGATATCATAAAAATAAAATAGTTAATTTCAACCAGTAATTAAATGAGTGATAGAATTTGCTCTTTTACACAATTCAAAGTTTTGTCCTAATTTTGCTTCATTTGCGACAAAGATGTCGCATCCCTAGCTCTTACTGCATCCCCCGGACTTAGTTCGACCAGGGACTTTCGAGATTATGTAGGATCTACAAGTATATTGTGACTTCTACTGCTGATCCTATTGTTTGGCCTATTGTCCTAGAATGTTGCTCTCTAGAATGAGAGGTTAGGGCGGTGAGAGGAGGTTCGTGAATAGCTGAGGCGTCCGCATGAACTCCATCTGGAGAAACTCAGAATTTCCAGAAACTCGAGAATCTACATTCTCGTATAGGCCTTTTATTCTCCTTCATACACTGACTTTGCGAAATAACCGGTATCAAAATTCACCGGGGTCTGGATAAATTTAATTTATTCACTCGCAAGTAGAAATGCCAATGACACTCTTGTAATTGTTTTAAATGTTTATATCTTAATGCCTGTATAAAATTGACTGAGGGGTGGGGAGTTTAGCGACTTAGTAGAACCAGTAAATCAAAACAGATCTTCAGGTGTACAGACTCCATTCGTATCTATAAGAGTGAACATTTTTGTTATCGAATGTTGAAAACAATTCTCGTTGCTACATTAACGGAAATGATCTAACGTTTTCCAGGCCTTTCATTATCAATTTTTCTGGACTACTCTTCATAATTAGAAGTTAAAAATCATCCTTTCTAGTTTCGTACAGCTTTTGATTCATCTGATTAAGTATCAGATAGACGTAGTATTCGTATATTGTGGATTTCCAGAATTAATTATCTCAGAAACGCAATTCAATATATTGCATGTAACAGGACCATATAAGACTAATTTTGAAATCACTTAATAGAAACTTGAATATTATTACTAGAGTTTCAACTAGTACGTATAGATGATGACGATTTCGGAGCTCAAGATAACGTGTACAGATTGTACTTCACTCTCATTAGTCACATAGAGTTGTTAGCGTTTCTTACTATATATAAATTAATACAGTAAAATAGCTTTAAGCGGAAATCGATCGGGACAAAAAAAGGTTTTGGTTTAGGGAGGTTTCCGTTTTATGCAATGTCGTCCATTTAACGACACTTGTGATATTGATATTTGCATTATGAAACTAGTAAATGAATGAAAGTAAACAAATAATTAAAGTAAAGTAAAAATGACATGATTTTATTATGTTACCTAAAATAGATTTCCATAATTTATAACTTATGTATGGAAGAAATCATAAATAAAAGAATATTAAACATTCTTCATTGATAACTTCTGAGTTTTCATTGAGTGTCGTATAAGTTAGACATTTTCATCTAATGTTAGAGAATGTTAGGTTTTTGTGGTTTTCGCATTTTTAAGCTGTTTGTGAAACTCATAAGAATACACACCATCTCACTGCGTAATGGGTAAAATCGAACTGCTTGGTGATTCTCTCAATTCACAATGCGTCACAGCCCCACTATGATTTTCTGATACTCTTAAATGGCTTTGAGCAATGCGTGTGCGTGTCTGGCTGAGAAGTTACGGTTTTGTAGGTGGGGCAGGGAGAACCGCGGATATCAGCCATACCGTACACCAACCCCCGCTCGGAGAGAAAGGGGAAGATGATTCCCTTACTGCCCACGCCTTGAGAGAAAGTGATCCCATAGTCAAATTCTCCACTGTCAGCTCAAGCCCCTCTCCTTGACAGTGCAGTTGCCACGGCTAAATCACGTGCGGTAGGGGATTTAAAACAGACTTGCAGATGCATTCATTACATTTAGAATATCTGTCACCTCTGCCAATCGATTAAATTCGCAGAAATTCCGTTTTATAAAGATTCCCCCCCCCATAGGATATGAAAAACCGTTCTGTTTCCGCATTAGGCAGATTCCGTTTTATTGTGTGCAAAATAACAAATAACTTCAAGGACCAGGGAAATTTTCCGGTTAAGACAGATTTCCGGCTTGCACAGCTTCCGCTTAAGAGGGTACTTTACTGTGCTATGTGATTCGTGTACGCGTCCATCACCCTGTCAGTGTCAAAGTAGCTCGAGGGCGCGAGGCAAGGGACTCACCTCTACGACGAGCGACTCGGGCTGCGCCTCCGCCACCGTCGCGGTCCAGTTTCTCAGCTTCTCCTTGGGCTGCGCTCTGGGGTTGAGGAGGGCGATGCCTCGCGTGCCCCTCATCACGCTCGGGTGCGGCCCTGCGCACGCGCCACACGCCTCGCTCACGTTTCGTCCCTTTTCAGCGCTCCAGGAAACGGACTCGATGTACAGAAAATTACATCCAGTTTGACTACCACGCTCCTTGCGTCACCTTCCGTCCTTTTTTCTCTGTTGCTACCAACGAGCTACAATATACTACATAGAGTGACTGAAGCGACTCCATCTTTGATGCAAATTGAAATCATGTTTTTTTGCCGTCAAAGCAGTGCTCTCTGGGAAACAAGTTCTAGCATTACGTTAGGCGCAGGTTAGGGACGGTTACATCCAGGTTACACCGCCACTAGTATGTTTTGACTTCATAAAACATGGCGGTCACTAGTTCGGCAAGAGCGCTGAAACTGTAGGGCCAGCCACTCTATGTAGCATATTCTAGCTCGTTGGCTGCTATGCGGGCGATGTGATTCGTTTCGTTTGTGAAGTTTTGAGGGCTTTGAAAATTTGTGCTGAATTGTATTGTAAAGAGATTCGTGTGGTGAAAAGTGAAACAATTTTCACTTTTCTATATTCTGGTGGCATCTAGTTCCATGCGCATTTTTAACCTAATTTCTCGGAATTTGTTTCTTGAGATGTGTTACACGGTTTGATCTTTAACGTATTTTTCAGCATTCGGCGGAAAGATTTTTGTCACGAATACGAGCAGATAAAATAACTTTGTAAACCGCCGCTTGTGTTCATCTCGTCGTTAATTCAGTTTTGATACCGAAAGGGTAGTGCGCAGAAGCAAACGTCCCATTTTCATCCATTTTCTGTACAGAAAACTGACGAGAAATGGACCGTTTAGAACAGTGCTTGGATACGGGATTCAGAAAGACTAATCCAAAAATCTGAGACATTTCTGTGGGTAGAAGAATAATATGACAACTAAAAGCGATGCAGAGGAAGATTCTTGTATTTACAAAAATTTAAATTAAAAGGGAGATAGGAAATTTGAGTGGATGGTCAGGGGGAAGGGGAGAAACAAGCTGAGTAGAAAAGATGAGTGAACAAATTAGTAAAAGTATAAATCGGAACATGAAAAGGAAGAATAATACCGAAATGAATAGAGGAATGAATAAAATAATGAATTTTAAGGTAAATGGAAGTCTCTCGATTAGTCAGACAGATTGAGAGGCGAGCAGAAGGTAGAGCGACATTGAAAGGCGTGTCAACGGAAATATCGTGAGAAGACAGGACATATGGAGCTGTAGAACGCATCTTAGAACTGCGCGGAATAGTTTTGTATGAAACAGGAAGATAAATGGGGATACACATGTTGGTAATATTGGAGAATTTGCGGAGAAAAGAGCGGAGTGAAAATGGAGAGATTAATAGAATAAAAAATGTAGGAAAATAGAAAGAATAAGAGCAATATAAGTGAAAGAAAAGAAGATAACAGAAATGTATTTAACGCACGAAGTCCCTCTCTTTTAGTGAAAAAGTATTGAGGATATTTAATCAAGAAGGAATGCGGAGCAGTGAAATAATATGTTGGCAATTTTTGTCATTGTTTTTCGTTTTTGGTTTGGAATTTTGCTGTTCTACTGCGTATTATGTTATTATTTTCTACGCTAATGAGCGTATTAATAGTTAGCTAATATATTTACTATGTCATATTGTGCTAATTTGTGTCATGCAATAATTAATGCTTATGTAAGATATTAATTTTACCTCTCGTATTGGCACATGCATATGAATGAATATGTGCATGCATCTGTGTATGAGAATATAATAATATATGCATTACACTCTAGGAGTTTATATGCATGCTAGTAATGTGTCCGTTGTGCATGGCGAATATATCATTTGCATGTGTTTAAATAGTGGATTTCGGTAATTTATAGTAAATTTACTTTTTATATCCCAACATCACAAATGACCTTCTTTATTGCAAAAAATCGTTCATAAAAGGAGATCCTACGGTGTAGATTATGACGATTTTGCTGTTTATGGCCCGAATAATTGCGTCATCACACATTCAGCCAACAGCAGCGAGAGAATCGTGGGATTGCAGCGAAAACCCAACAGACGATCTCAGTTTTCTCGCACAGATCTCAAATGCCAGTGTCGTCACAATTAAGTTCTTTCTAAAAGCTAACATTGATTCTCTTATAAATTTAAAATGCTGTTATACAAAATAATAATTCTGGCAACTCGTTTATAGTGTTGCTTTATTGCATTAGTACAAATTTAAAAACTCGCTCTTTTTCAAAAAGTACTCATTCATTAATGCTTAACATTATAAACTATGTACGCAGTATACTATTGGATTTTTTATTTGAGCTTTTATGTAGCAAACGTTTCTGCATTCTGTCCCCGCTAGAATTTATATTCTATTATCATCTAGGCTATACGGGACGAGCCGCGTCACTATCGTGATGATGTTGCGGCCAACACGTTAGAGACAGGGTTGCCAAATGTTTCGTACAAACATCCGCCGTTACATGGCTGTCAATCCGCCCAATGAGAAAAGTTCAACATTTCAAGAAGAAAATTTGAACTTGCATTAAAATAATATATATTTGAAGTTTTTTGAGGTAGTGACCCCTATGAAATGCTTGTTTAGTTTTATTTTTTGGTTTTTAAACATAGTAATTAATAATGTATGTAAAAAATTAAACTTTTTGCAATAATAAGTTATATCGTAATAGTTAAAAAATAATTGTCTCATGACCACAGCAGATGGGAGAAATACTTTAAAGGATAGAATAATTATTTTCAAATAAGATCATTTTATTTATCACATTGTCATATCACATTTAAGTGTTTTTTTTTTGGATGATTGTACCAAAACTTAACTATAAATGGCGTGTTCTAAAATCAACTGCAAGTACTGCCAATGAGATATAATATGTTCTCGTTGGCCACGACAAAGAGTTATGACTTTTAGAACACATTCTACTTGAGGTCTAAAATTACTTTACTCCTGACATACGACTATTAATATTACTCACTTCTCAAAGTAAATATAAACGAATTCACAAATGATTAATGAAAAATCATGTATAAATTAAAAAAATTAAAAAAAACAAATTCACTGTCAACGTCGTTCTGGTTGCTTTTTTTAATTCGTCGTAATCCGAAAACCCGCCCAAACCCGCAAACGGTTTGATGCATTTCTGCCCATTGGGCGGTATTCCGCGAATTCAAATTTTTGTCCCGCAAGGAAGAGCCATTTTAGAGCCCCAAAACCGCCTAATGTGGCAACCCTGGTTAGAGCCGCGGCTCGCTCCGCATAGCCTAGCTGCCGCCAAGGCCGGGCCGTGCGCACCGAAGTTGAAGACGAGGCGCACGGCGTCGCGCGCGGGGTCGTAGGCGCGGCCCTGCAGGCGCAGCTCCACTCTGAAGGCCTGGCCGCGGCGCAGCACGGGCGTGGCCGGCTCCAGGTGCACCAGCTCGAAGTTCTCGGTGTGGTGCTTCTCCGCGTTCTCCAGCGGGAACAGGTGCACGCTGCTCACCTCCAGCGGCGCGTTCTGCAGCACCATCTGCGCAACAGGAAGCGACTCTTCAGCCCTCTACTTACCTGCCTACTACCTACCGCGTTGCGCTGCAAACAGAAAGCATTGAGCAAGGAGCGCTGCGGAAAACAGGGCAAAAACTTCTAAATATGAAGTAAAGTACTTCATCGGGCACGCTGTGAATATACCTTTTTGGGTCCATTATTCCGAAAACTTTGTTTACGGCAAAAAGTCTGCGATCAACGCTAGCGGCTAAACTGTAAGCAGGATTTTGACAAAAATTGATATTCTCTGATCGAGCTGATTGACGTCATGATTCCTTGAATTTAAAACATATTTTTATTTTGGGGAGTACTTTGTATAAAGCACCAAAATTATAATTTTTTTTTCAAAAATGGCTTCAATTTTAAAAAATTCTATCTTAAAGGAAAATACCTTCTCTACAAATGGCGTAAGTCGCATTTTCTTTGTCATTCCTGAATTTTCAAAAATTGCTTAAGTTCAATTTTTTTCGGCATCTTCCTACAACTTCAGTAATGAAAATATATTTTTTATTAATCAAATCTGTTCATCAAAAAAGTATCTTCAAATAAGGTCATATTTAATTTTTTGAAAATATGAGTAGTTTTTGCGTAATTTTTCATGAAACATGAGGGTATGAAAGAGATCACTCTGTCCTGATCTGTTTGCTACCAACATAAATGCGATTTTTAATAGGAGGCCCCGACTCGGCCCACTGCGAAGAGACTTTCCAGGCGCAATATATTAACCAGGGCCGAATTTAGGAACTGCGAGGCCCACAAGCACAATATCGATTTCGAGGCAGCCCGTCGAAAAACTACTCCCGATTTACTAAAAACTTTAAGTATAATAGAATGAAAATTAACAAATTGTTTATAGACAAAGACATTTTATTTAAATGCTTAATTAATTTTTAAAATAACTATTTTATTTTAATATATGTCAAGTTATTTTACAAATTAAAACATTTTATGACACTAATTTTAATATTTTATTAAATTGTATTTTGTCGCGAGGCTTTCCAGGGTTGATGGACCCGAATGAACTGCTTATTTTGCTTGTACTAAAAATTTAATACAAAAAAACGAAATTTTAGTTCTCGTCTACGGTATCAAGATACTTTTCATTGTATATTTCTACTGATGTAGAAATCATACAGAAGTACCAATGGAAAGAAAAATATTATCGATTTTAGCAAGAGAGACGAAATTTCCTCGAGCAATTGACACGGCAAATATTAACAGTTACATATCTAGGTTTAACTCGTCTAATTCATTTCCATTGTTCCAACGGACGTAGCGTAATAATTGGTCTCAGATTCAGTAGTGCACGTTCCGAGTAATTTGTTGCAGATTAATTACTTCTCACGGCTTCTTTCCAACCTGCCACTCCCCAATTCGTAAGGGCGGATAAAGGATTGGCCCCGCGATGCCGTGAAATCGCACGCGATATTTCTCTCCGGCGCAATTTCAATTTAAATGAAGGAAAGAATCTATATAGAATTCCATATTGGAGTTTCGCATGCCTAATACGCGGCGGAAGACAAATGATAATTGCTTCTCCTTCCCGAATTCACGAGTTCAGTCTGCCACCGCCGCATGGCGCTGGCGTAGCTCTGGCTCTCGTCTTCACTGAATTCGGGCAGAGTGGCTAAATCTTTATGATCTACAAAACGCTGAAACTAGGTATTATCTGCGTACATTTTCTTGAGCCCTTGCTTAGCCAATTTGCGAGAGGAATGGGGAGTTTGGTTATTTAGATGAAAGGAATTTTGTATCATATTGGTAGTTCGTTTTTCGATTACTATTCTCAGAAGCGAACATTTATGGTTGTCATATTTTGTCTACAATGCTCGTTGCTGTCATTTATTCTTCATTCAACAAATGTCGGCAAAGAAGTGGGGATAGATATCCGGGGCTCAAGAAAACGTGCGCGTTTATATTACGTTAGAATGTTCGTGTCTTTCAGTGACTAAAATAGAAAAAAAGATAAACATCTGCTCCCATCCCTTATCCTGCCTCACATAAAGGAACCTCACGTGAACACGATCCCGCAAACGAAATGGCGTCGTATCTGTATAATACTTTTAGGGGTCATTTTATGCGTGGACTCAATTGACGTTTGGTTACACTAATGGAAATACGTCAAAATACTTTCTTGACAGTTTGTAACCGAAATATAGTAAAAATAACCGAAATTGAATTCACAGAATTCAGTAAGAGCGGGGCTTGACGACAATGTCCCCAGCAGATGGATTGGCCGCGGGAGACTGACAGAACTGTCTGCACGCAGCCCTGATCTAACCCTCTGTGACCTAACAGTGTGTTCAATGGTATCAAACCTTTGTTTTGTTGTTTACGTTTTGAACGTCATTGTTACAAATAGGTATTGACTTTACATTCACTCTCTACATAGTATTAACTACAATCACTTGTAACTTTTTTCTTATTTGGTCTTCTCTTGTACATCCTTTTTTCTTCTCAGAAACTTCATTTCATTACTTTGTATTCTTGTTAAAGTTCTTTGTGTAGATACCCATGTTTCACACCCATAAAGTAATGTAGAAACTGCCATTGTAATTTAAAATTTTATTCTAGTTTCTGGTCTTGTTTTATTTTTTTAAGGTATTGTGTTTAGTGCTACACGTTGTTTGATAATTCAATAATTTTCTGTCTATGTCTTTATCTTTCCACCACAAATTTTGCACCCAAAGTGATCGAAGCAGAGAACCTGCTCTAAAATTTTATTTTCAATGACAATTGTAACCGTAAATGATACTAGCGGAACTCGGCAGACACCCTGCTCTCCATCTCCCTCCCCCTATCTCTTTCTCTACCATCTTTCTCTCTCCGTTTCTCTCTTTCTCTCTCCGTCTTTCTTTTTGTCCCAGTCACCCTTTCTCATCTCTCTCTGCCTCTCACTCTGACTCTCTCTGCCTGTCTCTCTGTCTGTCTTCCTCTATCTGTCTTTGTCTCTTTCATTCTGTCCGTCTCTGTGTGTCTGTTCATGTCTATCTGTATCCCTCTGACTCTGTGTCTCCCTGCCTCTGTCTCATTCTCTGTCTCGCTGTCTCTCTCAGTCTGTCCTCGGCCTCTCCTTTCGTCACACGGGAACGCCCACCAACAACGAAGTCCAGGTGGAGCTCAGTTTCAATGGAAATTGAATCCAAATGAAGCGTCATCTTGTGCTGCAGCACCATATAGTAGAGTTACAACAAATTAACAGCACAAAAACCTTCTGCGTGAAAAAACATGTACACGTGCCATTTTTTTATGGAGATCGGGCACACGGTTGTAGCACACCGCTGCTGACCTATGGAGGAATGTAACAGGAACCTGTCCCTTGGCCCAGTGAAGGTGGCCCGAAAAAATTACCCAGCAGGTCAGAATGCTGAAAGTTGGCAGCCCCAACATCTGACTATCTAGCTGTGGATAGGTCATCCTCACTGGGGAAATACTACTAATCGAATTCCTCACAGGAATAAGCCGGCTGACTACGGAAATCAACCTGCACAGAATTTAAAGATAACATTGTCACATTTCCTCATTTCTTGCTGTTCTTGGCGTTCTTCCTCCAATCTCACAGCGACGTGAGTCTATTCGCAAACGAGGGAAAATTGAGGGATAAACCCCGAAAATATTTTTTCCTAGGTATTTTAATTGCATAGTTTAAATGAAACCATTACCTTCAATTTGGATTTCATTAAAGTAGTATTTTCTTCTTCAATAAGTGTTGAATTTTATGAAGATTTCATCGAAGGAATATCTCTCTTCATCTACCAATTTGAATAACAAAACGTTACGACTTTCCAAAGCAAAAGCTGTTTACTATGAATAGAAACTCTGGTGGCCTCTCGGTGTGGAGTTTTGTGAAACTTTTGAAAATTGACTTTTGCACGTTGACTTATAAAACCTCTGAAACCCAATAGCTTTTTGTGGATGTTCACGAATCCGTTTTTGGTTTTCACGAATCAGACGTAAACTCGAGTGACATCACACGTCCGCCCTTTGCCCTTGTCCTGAAACTACTAATATCTTGTTAGCGCACGCGTGGAAAACAACTGTCATTCACGAGTTCACATCCATCGACTAACGTTACGGTTCTGTGCGCGCCGACAAAAAACGCGCTGCCGCCACGGCGAACCTCGCGGGAATGACGGATTAGAACAGCAATCACGTTCACTCATCAGATCACAGTTCATCTCCCAGCCCCATTCGCCATGTCAGATGTTAATTCTCCGCGTCTTCCTTTTGTTCCGTTCCGAGCCAGTGACGAATAACGCGTCGCGCGCGACACGACGCCCCGACGCGACGCGGTGCTCGCGGGGACCTTCTCCATCACAGGCGCTCGAAGCGCTCTCTGCGGCGGACGGTGGAAGCGCGCGGTGTCGAGAGCCCCCCCCCCTCTCTCTCTCTCTCTCTCACACACACACACACACCACACGCGGGCGGCGGGCGCTCGCCCGTGCGGAAGATGCCCGTGCGCGTCCACCGCGCGCGTCGCGCGAAGACCGAAGCGCCGCGAACCGGCCCCGGTGATTCGCAAATTGATGACTTTGGGCGCCTGGGTACGTGTGGGAAAGCGGAGGAAGAGAACGAGTTGAAAATATTACATTAGTTTAGATTAGATTAGATTTAGTACTAATTCTGCAACTAAGTTTGAACGTGGTGGCAGAATACACTAACTTAATATTACAGAACTTAACAAATTCACAAAATTTGCAAATTAACGTGAACATTTCAACGTGCAATATCGCTGCGAATAGCCATGAAGGAGAGCCGGAGAAGACGAGTGACGATAGAATGTAGAAGAAATAGAGGACAGACGGTGGCGGCAGACAACGAAGATTTGGAGATGCCCTGCTCTGTGAAAGCAATGCTACAAACATAGCGAGCCAGAGCACAGCGAGAGTATGGCAAGAAAACATGAGAAACTACGAAATCATGAAAACAACGAAATGTAGTTGACAAGAGAGAAGTGACTATTTGCGAAATGTTTGGATTAAG